AACTTATTTCTCACACAAATTTTCCACACATCCATCTTAATTTTTCTCATGTAGCCCTCTAAAGGGATTTTATTGAATGGTTCCACAGGAGTGTTGCTTGCCTTTCTTGCCATGTTGGCTGCTAGGTCGACCTGCTCATTTCCAGTCATTCCGCAACGCGAACTCTTCTGCTTTAGCAGCCACCAAAAGTTTCTTACTTCTTTCGCTGTAGTAGTTTTTGTCCTGGTATTTCCAATGGCTTTTAATGAACTCATCGAGTCCGTTCCACGTCCCAATTGATAGTTTCGGTTTAAAGTTTCTCTTAATAAGTATAATTAACTATCTATTAAGTATAAGTAACTTAATAAGTATATATCTAAGATCTCTCTTATCTCTTATCGATGCCATTTTTCCGGTAAAAACTGAGCAAGCCTCCAGGAGATTAAATAGTTTACGAATATCAAAATTTATTACCGAGTATCCTACTTCCCAATCTACTTTTGAGAAATCCGTATAAAAAAAAAAAATTAAAATTAACTTTAACTGTGCTTTTTTTATATCTGGAAAAAATATTTTTTATAAGTCAGTTCTGCTCATATGAATTTATCATAATTTGTTGATCGATAATTTGAAACTCTTTGACTTTTAGGATTATTTCAGGAAATTATTGCTGTTTATCAAGAAAAGCTGTAAATGTAAATAAAATTCAATGAATTGGGAGAAGAATATAAAAAATTGATCATCTAATTGTTACTTTAATTGAATAGAGAATTACAAACTATAACACTTTACACTATATTTCAGGTATCATTTTCCGAATCTGACGTTCTTGGATTAGATTCCTTAAAGAGGACGGACAAGTGCACCCTTGACGTTGTTTACAGAAATGTGACGGTAGACCTCCATTACGGCTTCGGATTCTTCCAACATTCTTTCAAATCCTTGAAGATCAACGGCCAAGACATGTCAGCCAGCTACAGGATCGGGGACAATTCTGTCCGCGTCCATTATACTGTTCACAACATCGGCCGAAAGGGTGCCCGCTGCTCTGTAATCTTGCACGACCTGTCCATCGAGAGGTTGGCCAAGATGGATTTCCATGCTTCCAGGCCTGAATACGATGGAATTGACCTCGAAGCATACTTTGAGAAGGAAATAGTTTCGTTCTTGAACAAACAGATCGATAAGGGTGTGGTAGAAAGAGCTTTGCAAGGGTTTATATGTAAGAATCAACATGTGGAAATTTCTGAACATATGCCATTGATACATCATACTATTTTAGAACAAATAGGAGTTCCTTCTTACCTGTGAAGGAATCTATGTATAAAGCATATAACAACTATCTCAAAAATAAACATATTTATATGACATCTTTCCGTTATACATTACCTTCTTCTATATTTCTGTGCCTTGGAAGTAAAGAACATCATGTCCATTTTTTAATTAAAAATTTAGATCTAAGAAACAAATTTTAACATCTCAAAGCCAAGGAATATCAGTTTCCAAAGCAAATACAAAAATGTCACATACTGTTTTTTACCTCAGTGGTACAAATTTAATAACCTAAGATACAAATTTGAATATCCGAAAGTTATAGAAAATTTTTTCCTCTGAAAAAAAATCAAAAATGGACATGGTGGTCTTTACCTCCGAGGTACAGATTTAGTGTAGTCAATAAATGATTTTTGAGGGAAATGGAAGGAACACAATTTTTGACTTTGGGATATTGTTCCAATTATTTAGGAGGTAAACATACTAAGGGAGGTGAGTCGAATATGGAGGTCACCAATAAATTCATGTTTTTTGGTTCGTCGCTTACATCAAGAAAACCATGCATTGTAGGTTCTTTTCAAAATTAAACATGATAAAAGTTGCAACAAACAATATAGATAATTATTAATTTTGCCTACCTATATTTATTTATTTAAACCTTACCATGCCATTGAGACTAGTTTTGCAGAACTGGGTTGTTACGCTTGACTGCATAACTGCCAGCTTCTGCAGTGAAACCAATTTTCATATTATAATCGGCTCTTTATAGCTTCTTATTCCGCTCCTCCTTGTTCCGGCGGTCTTCTTCTTGTGAGACTAAGGCCATGGAGCTTGGCTTGAAAGCTCCCATGCACAGTAAGGAAATGCGAAATCCAATAATCAGTACACCTACAGCCGTTCCTTTAAAAGTGGTCACATTGTTGATGGGGATTTGAGGCACTGGAAAGCGCCCTCTACTTCACTAACGCTGTTCAGACATTGGGGTCACTCTATTTCACAGGTAGTCCAAGTGAGGGTTGACAATGATCCTATTTTGAATCTGAAAACAAGGTAGATGACCTCCTCATTTAGCGGTATTATTGTACCTTGAATCATTAAATTGATTGGGTTTCTTATACCTTCACAGAGGGGACTTCTAGTTCCTCTCATTGTGGGCAGTCTGCTCGTGTTTTCCCAGCAATTCTTCTAAGAAACCTCATTTCCACAGGTGTCACCCTGCTCTGCTGCTTAACTGCCATTATCCAAATTTCAGCTCCATATAGGAGTACTGGCAAGTATACCAACTTAAAGATACATGTTTTACATTCCTGCCCACCTCTCGCTTTCCATTAACAGTATTGCACATCTGGTAGCAGACCGCGTTTCCCTTGCTAATCCGATGTACTTCTCAATCCACTTTCTTAGACCATTCTACAACTGTTCCGAGCTAGGTGAAATCCAGGACTACTTCCATTTTTCCTCCATTACAGAACCCTTTGAGATCTTCCTGTAACCTTCTTATCTGAATGATTTTGCTTTTGCCAGTATTGATAACCATTCCTTATCTATGGAGCTCTTCGTACCATTCTGGCACTGTCTGCAGTAGGTTCTCTTCGGAGACTGCAATGAGGACAATATCAACTGCATAAAGTATAAGCTGGATCATTACAGGAAGCGAATTTCTCTGCCCCACGTCATTAACATAGATTATGTTAGATATGATATTATCATGTCCATATGTATACAAATAGCATGGGGTTAAGGCTGCCTCCTTGTATGGCACCCTCGCTATATTAAAATACCCGACTCCTGTTCATTTAATCTGACTATTCCTTTTGGGTCTTAGTATGTGGACTTAATGGCTTCTACCAGCTTCTTGGGACATTCTTAGCTCTCAGAGCTTCCCATATTTCATACCTTGGGACAGAGTCAAGTGCCGCCCGTAGGTCAAGGAAAGCAAGATACATATTTTTACTGCGATCCTAGAAATTTTTTTTAGTACATTTTTGAGAGGGAATATGTGATCCTGTGTTTGCCATCCTTTACAAACTTATTAACTATTGATTTCTTCAAATTAGTTGATAATTTATCTGTTTAGTTATGGAATTCATGAATGCTGCAACCGAACAGTTATAAGAACCTCAGATTAGTCAAAGCAATGAAAAAAAAGAGTTAAAGTATTACATTATTTTCTGCGAGGCTCCAACCAAAAAAGTGCTTGTCAACTTATCTGTTTAATCTCGGTGACTATATTCGAAATATATACCCAACTAATTTTGCAATTATAAACTGTATTCTTTTTTTTCCGTAAAAACTATTAAGAAATATTCATAAAAGTACAAACTTACTCTAAACAAAATCTTTTTCGAAAAGAAGCATATTAGACATTCTTAAGAAAGAACAGTGGATTAGAATTTTTAATTACTGGAGTGTAAAATTGATCTATAATAGTCTGTGGTACAGACCTCTTTTTATCAAATTATTAACATCCGCCTGAATCTTCATAAATAGTTTCATCTCATCTTAACCTACAACTATTATGTTTACGAAAACTCTTGCAATCGGGGCGTTTTCAATCTGGAAGGGGACAAACTTTGTTTATTTAATTAGGTACTAAAAACTAGTAAATACACATTTGCTTTCTACTTGGATCGTAAGATAATTTGATCACAAAATCGAGAAAAAAGCAGACATTCAAAAATATTGAGCCGTTTGGCGTGACTTACACCCCCAAATTTTCAAAATAACGAGGTTAGATAGGTTATAAACGACCCAATATTTTTGTAGGCCACCTTTTTTTATCTATTTTGTGATCAAATTGTCTTACGTTCCAAGTAGAAAGCAAATATGTATTTGCAAGTTTTTAGTACCTAATCAAATAAACAAAGTTTGCCCCCTTCCAGATTGAAAACGCCCCAATTCCAAGAGTTTTCATAAATGAAATAGTTGTAGGTTAAGATGAGATGAAACTATTTATTAAGTTTCAAGCGGATGTTAATAATTCGATAAAAAGGGGTTTGTACCACAGACTATAATCTATTCTTGCAAAATTAAGTATTAACAACCTCTACAACAAGCTTTAACTAGATATAGTGGACTCTTGCTATAACATGTCTTGTTATACTGTGTATTTAGGTCTATCCCATAGACCTAGTTTTGGAATAAGACGTTAAATTTCTTTTGTTTACCCAAACTTAATTCAAGTATGCTGGTCAATGTACTTATCATTTCATCCTTTATTTATACAGATGGATATATATAATAGATTTACTTTCATGGTGTACTATTATGTTCATAATACTATTAAATTTATTTCATGTATACTTTTTATCTTGTCTTATTAACATATTTTTTATCTATATCTCATTATTCTGATGTAATTTTCAGCCCTGATGGTCTGCAAACCTAATAAACCAAATGGAGACTGCAAATCCTGATTATTTGTCACCCTCATTTTTATTTTCAACTCGGTCTTCTCATATTAAATGAAGTTTAATTTCTCTTCTATATTCGAAAATTTTGTTTTTAGAGACCGTTCCGTCAGAGCATGAAAGATAGATCCTAAATATAATTTACAGTCAAAATAATAAAAAAAAATTTACTGATAAGCAAGCTTTCTGTCCCCCTCCCTCTTTCAGCCACCACCCACAAACATACTGAACAGTAGCCTCCATAATTACTGATCTGACCTGAAGTGTCATAATCGAAATTGGGCCTAACTCTCATAAGCAAGAATCAAATACGTATAATAATACAATATTAATTATAGAGTTTTAAAGGAACAAATATATTTCAGAAGTAACACAATTGGATAACAAATTAATATGTGCTTTATTCACTGTCATGTTTATCATTAATCTGAGATTTTCTGTTTGTTTTAATAACTCTTTAATATACATCTACATATCTTTCAACCTTGCTTGATTAAATTTTCAGAAATAAATAATATACAAGTATTGATCTATGCTGCTCTTAAATAAATTCATTTATTTATAAAATCAATATTTCTAACATAACACTACAAAATTTATATACAAAATAGAAACAACTATTTAAACATCGTTCCTCCATAAATTGTTACAAAAATAAAAATGATAACAAATGAAAATATTTTAAAGATAATGTCAACCACAACTATTATTTGAACAATGCAATCTGCTCTTTTAATTTAATCAGATGGATATAACACATTTTAATTTTAAATCAAATGCGAACCATAAACAACGTTAAACTTAAAGAAAAAGTGGATACAATCTTTTTTTATATTATAAAGTACATAGAGATCGTTTTAACTATGTACAAGCGATCTATGAACAAACAGAGAGAAAGAGAGATACTAATTAAAGTATGTCAGGCCTTTTCCTGTTAAGGAATCTAATCTAAACGCATTAAGTAATGAAAAATATTTATGAACATAAATAATTTAATTAATTATGTAAAAAAAAAGAGTATAAAATGGGGAGAAAAGGTAGTTACAAAATTGCGAGCTGAACAAACACAATAACCGGAACTAAAACAGTGTTTCTAATTTTCTTTTTATTAGTTTACTTAACCAATTATAAAACCAAAACCAAGTCGGAACTGGTTTTTCTGATGATTAAGCATCCCACTCAGGGTCAGGGAGAAAGGCATAGGCGTCAGCTTTTTATCAAGCGTCGCTCCAACGTTCCAATTTGTATCAACCATTCCTATAAAGCATGAAAAATATTATAAGAAATTGACATATAAAAAAAATCAAATTATTCACAGATAATCCTATAACAAATAACACTCACAATGCAATCAATAGTAAAATATAATACTATCAATATAAACCTTTTAATACACATTATTGACGAAGCTTCATATTTTACAAATACTGTTTAAGTAACACTTTCGTCACCTTATACTTATACTTTATATGTTACCTTATACTTTCGTTACCATCGTTTTGACTTTGACTTACCTATATATGAAAATGCCTATCTACTTTAACGTTGGCAAGTGAAAGGTGCGTGCTCCGCACTAGATTTTTTTTTTTTAGGAATGTTCAAAAGAGGCTTTTAGGGACGAAACGTTCTAATAACAAGAAAATAAATATTTCTGTTCAACAGATTTTTATTTATGAAATAAAAATTGTGGGATTAAAAGATGTATTTATAAATACGCTAATCACATATTAGCGCAAAAAACCAACCTAAATAAGGTTGTTTATCATAAATTTTCAAAAATATTCTATCGATAAATGACATAAATAAATACTTAAAAAATAAATAAATCCGATCCTTATCCCTGTGGAACTCCATCCCTTCCCACATCCGTCAATCCAATATCCTTCCTACCTTTAAATTCCGCCTGTTCAATCATTTCTTATCCATCCAGTCCCCATAAAATTGTAAATAGATACTACTGTAAATATGTACATAAATTATTAGTTTGTTCTTCATTATCTTTACTCCAATTTTTTTTATTTTTTTATTTTATTTATTATCAACTGACCAAAATTGGAAAGCAACTTATATGTATATGTGTGTATATATATATATATATATATATTTTTTTTTTTTCACTAAGACTTCAATTACTCTGTATTTTTATTTATGTATCTCTGAGGCTCCTTAGCCCACATTTCTGTCTTCCTGTATTATTCTAAAGGGACTCGTCCCAGAATAAATAAAGTATTGTTATTATTATTAAATACCTTTAAAAACAAGATCAGCTTTAGGAAGATCGACTTGATACCCTATCGAGGCTGATGATTCTTGAAGCCTGAAATTCGTTTCAAGTTCGACACCAAGCTGCAACTGTGAGCTGGCTCTCTGATAATAACACACATGGACACCAGATGGTCCAGCAGTTCCTGACACAATATAATCACCACCTGGAAAACCAAAAAAAAGAGTATGTGAAGTATTTTGTTTTGAATTAAAAAATAACATTATTAACACTAGACAAAGCCATAGGAAAGCTGATTCTCATGCTAACTGGATCTTATTTATAAAACTTTTCAGCAAATAAATATCTAGGTATAAAAATAAAATAAAATATGGATCACTTTCAGGGAGAGGACAGTTATTATTATTACAAAAAAAAAAATTGATCATTATCGTCAACATATAGAAAAAATATAATAACCTGTATATCGTGCCGCTAAAGATGTGAGAGCTAGTTGGGTACCAGGAATCGATAGACTCCTCTGGTATGCTAGTTCCACACCGACATCAGTATTTTTGGTAATACTTTGAATATAATGACCAACAAATACACCTGAAATAACCAAAAAATAAAAATAAATAACAAATTTGTGTTTTTGATTGTTTAGTTAAATTTCTTGTCAAGCAAAAAATAAAATAATACCTGAAAGATTTACAACATCAGGATTGGCAAACGTAACTGTAGCTGTGTAATTACTACCTCTGTAATCTAAAACGTACTGTGATGCTGTACAACGGCTACTTTGTACCTATAAATTTATTATTGGATTAGAACACTACACCTCCTTTTAGAAAAGATTTGTTAAATAAAAAATCTAAACAAAATATTTTGTTTTATCTAGATGAATTAAAATTTCTATATAAAATTATTTTTTATGAGATAAATCTGTGCACAGTGGGTTAGGTGTAAAAATCATATTCATGGAAAATCACAATTAAAATTTTAGAATTTTCACAGATGCAAGTTTAATTTTTGAGTTTCAACCCATTATTCACAAAGCAATGTTCTCTGTAATAACCGCATAATTTAGCACATCAGACACAATAAGAGAAAAATTAGCTTTCAGGTGATATAAATAAAATTCACAAAATTGCACTTTTCACAGGTGCCACAGAAGTAGTTTTTGGAATTATATAATATTAAAACTTCTGTGGAGTTGCTGAGTATATTATTGTATTATTTTAAATAAAAATCAAATCAAATGGGCTGGACAGATATGTGGAGATGAGATTTTTGAGTGTCTCCACATAACAAAAAGAGTTTCATAGGAAAAATTTTAAAAGTTGGAACTTTTTAATATTTTTTATAATTTTAAGTATAAAATAATATAAAAATTTGAACCGAAATCAAATTAATTATTGTTCTCATTCTCAATCAATCAATCTGCCATCTGCCCTCAAAGATAAAACCTTCTTCATTAAAAAATAGTCATAGGTTTTTATTATATATTTCCTTTTTCTTATATAAATTAATGGTATTAATTTATTATATATACTTAACAGATTATTTTACTTTATTGTTTTGTGAAAAGATTTGGTAATAATAAAAAAAAATGTATATGTATATTTGATTGTAAAATTGAATCTGTTACTTCAGAGAGAAGAAATTTTAATAATGTTCAAAACCACTCATTATAAAACTTTTATTACAATTTTCATAGATAAAATTCTACAAAAACTAAAATATACTCAAAACTGGTAAAAATTAAACATGTGCTGTTTCTTAAATAAATGATTAAAAAATGATAACTTCTATGGTTTCAGAGAATACAGTAGGCACTGTACATGGAGCGCACCATGCCTTTTTGGTAGTGATTAATGCTTTTTCTTCTTCTTTTGTTTTAAATCTAGATTCACTACTTTGTATATTAAAATGTTTTTATACAATTTCTAGTAGTATTTATTCAAATAAAATCATTATAACTCTTTTCTGTTGTTAAACTTAAGGTTCATGATAGGGAAACAAACTTATTCAAAATAATCGTAATCAGATTTGTCTTGCCAATGACACAAAATGCACACAGGCTTTGCAAATGCATTATTAGCACTTGTAAGATGTTTCGTAGAGTTTCTTTTTCCTTTCACACACATGACATTTTAAAAATTTCAATTCAACCAAAAATAGCCAAGAAAAAATAACAGTATAACACAAGGGAGCGCACTGCAGAGTTTTCCAAGCAATTTCCAAAAGTACAAGGGAAGCGAGGAGTTGTACAACGAATACCTGCGATTACCACAACATCCAGACACTTTGATAGATTTGATAGACTAAAAACAAAGGTAAGTTCATTCAATGCAGTAGCGCCCACTCGAAAATTAATTTTTAAAAATGATAAACATATAAAGAAAATATTTAAAAATAAAATAAAATGATTTCCACATCAAAAAAAGTAAGTAAATGATATTTAACTATTACAGTCTCATTTTGTTATGAGGGATTCAACTAATTTAATTTTATTGTGAAACCACACAATTTTCATAGTTAATTAAATTTTAACATAAATAATACAAAAGAAATATTACCTGGGCTTGAATTTTCCCAATTATGTTGTCATTAAACTTATGATAAATGTTCGCATTAAGATTTCCGACTGGATCTATGTCACCCACTAACACAGGATATGCTTCACCAGGGCCATATTGTTTTGTTCCGACATATGTAGCACCAAATCGATAACCAGATGGTGCCAAAGAACTCATATTTAAGGAATGAGAAATTTGGAAATGATTGCTCAGACCTTTTTGGACAGCTATTTTAGCTCCTTCAAAATTTACAGGAAATATATCTGTAAATCAAAAAATAAAACAATTAAATAATTAATAAAAATAAACATTAATTCAAAATAAAAGTTAGTTATTATTACTAATGATGGAGGTATTGTTGACCAGGAACTAATTTAAGAAGATGATTGAAGGATTAGTGATGAGCAAAAAAACAACACAAATAATAAAACTAATATGCCATTTCATTTCAAGTTTTTAGGTCTTAGGGCAATTTATGTAAGATTTAAGACAAAACATCAGCTCACAAGACGATAAAGTCTTTCTATGTGAACTTTTATTCACATTGTCCGCATCCTCCAACCATCTCATTTGCTATTATTATTTCTACTTAATAATATATAAGAAAATATTTTGGAATATTATGATTATAAATACAGACATAATAACAATTACTTGAAAAGTATTTCCACGAAATGTTCCTTAAATTAATAATCTGAGAACAAATTTAAGTTTGAAGTATAAGCACAAAATTAATAACACCAGCAAAATATTTTGGGACAAGCAAAGAATGGGACAGCATATATATTCTATATATAGAAGGTATTATAATCTATCTTGAAATAATATTAAGTTTGATAGGTAATGAAAAAAAACATTTAACTATTCTTTCGTTATAAGTAATAATGCCAAGTAATATGTTATGTAACTATCAGTTTTCACTGGAACAAAATTGAGATTTGGCCAAAAGACTATATTATATCAGTACTGATAATCTTAATAATTGGATAGGAATATTCAACTAATACTTGTAGACGAAATAAACAGGAATAAAAGAAGGGAACTGGTTTAAACCAATCAGCGCAAATACTGGAAGGATTGTTTCCATGGTTACAAGGGAACCGGATAGAAATTTTAGAGGCACTACTGCACAAATGTCACCCCACTTTCATGGATGACACAAGATCTCATCACCAAATCATAAATAGAATCCTGAGAACGTCTCAGTGTTTAGCCATTTTGAGCAAGTGGACATCAAAAGTAGCGATGCGATTAAAGCTAATTAATTCAATTTGGTTAAAAACCCCAATTTTGACTGATAAGGACCAGTAAGGAGTTTGTCAAAGTCATAAATCGCGATGTGAATAAAGGGAGGTTATACTCTTAACATCTCAATCCTCGGAATCTCATTTATACGATGAATATAAGATCTTAGCCTACTAGTCAAAGTGGAGCGACACCTGAACAGTGGTACCATTTTTGATTTTGATCATAAAAAAACATCGATTTAGAGACAAGATTATGTTAATAATTGCAGAGAGGGGGAGGTAAAGCAGAGAGTAAGACACTGTGATCCTTCACTGCTGGTACTAAGTACAAGTCTTGCTGTGGTAGGCAATTCATTATTTTGTTACATCAGCCATGAAATGGCTCAGCAATCAGGAGATCTCTGATCTGGGCCACACCCAGCCTCTAAAAATTGAATAAACTTAAATGGAGAAAAACTAATACTACCTTCTAATAAAGAACAGTAACTGTCGGAACAATACTTAAAAAATAGTATAACCTATCATAAGTATTAACTTAGTGCTTTATTTATTATTTATTAATGAAGCAAGATAGTTATTTATTAACTGGACATGATGCTTTTCATCATTACATAAATCAGATTTATAGCAAACACTATTGTAAGGCTATACCAATACCATTCACATTTTACCTATCAGTAGTTATGTAACACAACAAAATTTGATGTTTAAACAGAAAAGCAAATTAATTAAACAAAATAATTGTTTGAATAAAAATTATAGTAAAATATGAAATAAATAATAAGAATAAGTGTTTTAAAAGGTATGCATAGCTTGGATAGGTTAAAAATTAATAAAATTTAGATAAAACAAAGATAAAATTGTTACGCAAGCAATCATTATCTGTAGTCCTAATATAACTAAAATATATTATTTCTACTTAATGAAGTAACTCAAGAAAATGGATAAAAGTTTCTAGTGCTTTATGATAACTGTTTATTTAATCAGTGGATACTACTAGTGATTTCTGCATTCAACAGTTCGAGGCGATTCAACTTCTATACAAATATATTTTATAAAATCAAAAGTTTTTAGAATAAAATTGATTTATAATGTATTTCACTGGATAGAATGATAAGGAAAGTAATAAATGAGTATTGGGAAGTTAATTATTCAACTAAATACATCAAATTATTAATTCTATACAATTATTTCCCAGGGAATAATTTTGATATGAGCCAGTGAACAATCAAGTTATGCAGTCATGCATAACCTCATCTTTTATCAGGAAGGTTATTCTGTAAAGAGCACATGTATTGGCTTATCATTGATTGATTTTAATCTAAAACTTCATTTTCTGTGAAAAATAATCTGTTAAACTTTATCTAAAAACATTTATAGTACAAGTACATCCAAAGCCGATCGAAGATAAAGGCTATTGTAAGATATAGAAACAAAAAAAAAAAGATTTGATTTGAAACCCGCAAACGATGAAAACTAAAACTTGTTAAGTAACGAAATAATGTCAAATACACATACATATAATACAGTAGAATCATAATTATTGTATATTCTTTTACGGCACGAATTAATTAGTAATAAAATAAATGAAAACAAGTCTACTTACCTTTACATTTTTTGTGCAGCTCTTCCATAGACCCTGGATTTTCCAACTTTTCATCCACTAAAGGAACAACATTTTCTGGTTCAAATGCAGCAAATGCGTCCGAGGTACTTTTTTGACTAGATGCATTAACGTTCCCCATTTTGGCAAATTGTCTGTTATTTTAACTAAAAAAATATAAAAATCAATACATAAATTTTACACAACACATTTCACACACGTTCCCCCAATCGGCCATAGGCAAAGGCAAAGCCAACTAAATAACACATGTTTTCATTTTACCAATGTCGTCTACTTTCTCTTTGGTGCCGGTCGGTGAAAATTGAAGATCAAAATTTTTAAACCTCTCCTTTTTCACTTATCAAAGTTAAAGCTTAAGTAAAGGTATACAGATGCAACGGTCTAAATATCAATCCAACTGGAAGTTTTATTTTTATATATTACCATGGTTTTAGTTTATACCAAAGTGTAAAAGTTTTGAGGAAGAATAATTCATCTAAAAATGATAAATCTATTATCCACGGTGAAATTTTTATAAAGAGACAATTAAACGATTTTATTACAATGTAAAAGAATCATCTGTAAATTAAACAAGTTCTAAAGTCAACACTTAAAAACTAATGATTAACATAGCACTAAATGAAACATATTTAAAAAATAAATAAAAATAGAGTAACACAAAAATAATTTCATTTTATTTTATTTTTATGAAAAATCCTTAAATAAACTCTACAGTTATATAGTATGTTTAACTTGAATTAGATTTTTTTTCTTAGTGGAATATTTTCATGCATTTATGAAAACTAAGGTCTACGATTTAGTAGTTACGAGTTCTTGAAAAATTTTAACTTAATAATTAGAGAAAGTTCACATAATAACTCATTACAATTTTACTGATAATAGTACAATGAAATAGAAGAGCTATATTCACAATCGTCAATGGGTGACTAAACCAACGTTGATGAAGAAGAAATTACATCGTTCATTTACATAAGCTCGGTTGTTTCGACGCACAGCTGGGCGAAAACTACTGAGTTCCCTAATATTTATCAAAATGTGTCCTTTCAATATTTGACTCAAATTTAATATCTATTCATATTTCAGTTGATCATCATTCATCAATTGAAGTAAATAAATAATTAAAAAATATCTTTATTATTCTGGGATGAAACCACCATATAGGTATGAATCCATATTTCTGGCTGTTTCTTCTCTTTGCAGCAGCCCACATTGACTCTACACTTTGAGCGGCGCTCCAGTATTAGGATCCTTGAAATTTTCTAAATGTTTCACTGTTAGGTGTTTGTAGTACATTCCTAAAAATTTTTGTAAATTTCTATATGATCTCCATAAATCACACATAATCATAATAGCTGTTCCTGTTAGAATTGTTTCTTAAATGCACTCCAAGAGAGGTGCTGAGGTCCTATCTGGAATGGTGTACAAGAAGCACTCCTTCATCTAACGACGTATGTCTCCAAACACCCATTGTTGAGAAAATGTTCTCCCAACATTGTATTTTCGCACAGAAATGCAACTTAATTAATATCGACAGTTGTTCCAGACCCTCCAACTTAGATGGGATTGCTTAGTACTTTACTTGCACAATTCTACCACAGATAATCTTCCAATTCGTCATAGTATGTTCAGTCATACCTAATTCTTTTGTACATTACTTTGTAGTAGTTTATTACTCAAATAGGAATAAACAAATAATATTGAAATGGAAAAACGTAATTTCGCATTCCCTTCCCATTTCTACACGAATGAGTATAACACCTTTGCCTATCATAAGCACTATTTTTTCTATGTGCTTCATTATGTGTCGTTTATTACATAAGCGCTCCTTATGGATAATTCCAGCTTCCTGATAAAACTTAAGAGGCTTGTCTCTCATCGTTATTCTAAAAGGAGTTCATTTTCCTAACTAAATGAATCTGTTAACAGATGTTTATATAATAGAAGAACAACCAATTGATACAAATATAACCAGTGTTTTTCTGTGAGATACTTTTCCTGTTCAAAAATAACTGGCAGGGGCTAATCTCTATATAAGATCCAAAATTTGTTTTGGCGAATTTCAGCCCGAGAGCATCACGTTTTCTTGGATCCGTTTGTAGATATCCCTTGCATAACCAATTAGTTCAGCAATCATGGGTTTCACAAATAATTGTATACCTTTATCTCTAATGAATGTTCAGTTTACTTCTTTGTAAGAGCGTGTGGAGTAATTCGAGCATAATGGCTCAATTTCTACTCATTGGCTTATTTTCCAAAGCAGTAACTATTAAAAGTATTTGTCAAAGTTATGCCAGCTTTACTTATCTTCCACTCATCAAAAACTGTTGGCTAGGTGATAAAGGAATGTTTGTGGATGTTATGAATCGAGAAAATAAATGAAAGCCTAATAATAATATTATTTGTCATCATTACAATTGCAACAAGCCGGCTATAGATCCGATAATTATCAATCATTGATCGAAGGAAAAAAGCTTAAATCTGCTAAATATGATTTGATGGTTGAGAGGACGCGAGTGGAATACGCAGCCCACTCAAAGGCCTCGATTGCACACTATGCTTTATCAAGCCTCATTTTTTTTTTTTTTATATATATATCAAGGGGATAGACTGATCGTTAAAATCGTCAATATTTACGTCTTTAACATCATTCAGCGACAATAATCAACATAATCTATAACTGGATTGTTAACTATAACTTCCGTACTACTTTACTAACTTTGGTTTATATTGATGAGTGGAGATAAAACCATAAATGGAATGCCCAGCATTGATGCATTCACCAGTATAATTTCCTTTTTATTGTCTGGGATTTATGACATCCCTGAACTCCCAACTGGTCTTTTTCAGTTAAAATTAGATCTAGAAGCCTTAATTAGACTGCTGATTCAGAATTCTGATTACTCAAACATACAACCAAATCCCCAACAGAAGGTTTTCCCAGGGCCAGGAGGGTGGGAGGAGATTTAAAGGACTCCCTCAGCACCGGGATGCGAACTCATGACTATTTTTATATTATTTGAATCATATATCAGGTTACTGGGCACATGTGTTAGCCCATTCGACTACCCTGCCCACAAATATTTATGAATTTTAATAACAATAAACTACTAATTATAGTATTATACAGTTTGAAATTACTTATCTGCCTGAGATCTTCCTACATACAGTCTTGCCCCTCCTCTTAATATGAAAGCTGCATAAGCAATAGTTCCAATGTGAATAAGTTTGGTTCTATTACTTAACTTTTTCATCCTTACTTTTGAATATGTAATTTTCAAAGGTAATAGCTGAATCTGTCTCATATTGATATAAGCGTTAGTTAAAGATAATTCCTAGATAAAACTGGATTGATCAATTTCCTGCTGTAGTATTTTCCCAATCCTTTTCTACATGCCCATGGTAATTAGCATTGTGCTGGGAAGGACTAGTCAAGTAAGAGAACCTTGTGGTCTTTCTTGACAGCCCCTGATGGTTACCTTACTGCCCAGAGCATTGGGAATGCTAGAGTCGTGGTGGCCGAGAAAGTTAAGTAAAAATGAAAAACCTAATTAAATAACTAAATTAATAAAACCTCAACAAAAATTACGCTTTTAAATAACAACTTTTAAAAACATGAAAATCGATGGAATCAATTCTAAGTTTAGAAATAAACGAAACAATATATAACACTTTCCTGCACAATCACCATTGCAGTAAATTAGGTTTAATAAGGTGCAACAGTTCATAGGTAGATATCTACGCCAGACAATAGTTGCCATCTTGTGACAGGAACTGTCAACAATTATGTGAAACTTGGTGTTGTTACTGTATCGTCAACAAAGCATATGTTGTATTGTAACACAGTGGAAATGGAAGTGACTGCAACTGTCGTGGTGGTTGTCACCATGGAAACAAAGCTTATACTAAGGATATTCTATAACAGGTAAAAATATTAATAAATAATACAACAGTAATAGTTTTAGAGAGCTTTCTTTTCTGAAAACATAATCATCAAAAAAAATAAAAACAAAAAATAATAAAAATTCCAACATGGACAAAAATAAAATAAAATTACGATTTCTGTAATTTACACAACGTACGGTCGAAGATATATTTTAAAATATACACAATAGTGTATCCAAAATAGCACAGCCAACGCATGACTATTATATACTTTTATATACATATTTACATAAACTCATTCCTCGTAAAAAAAAAGAAAGGCACTGTTAAGTTAACATCAGCTGCTCTTCTTGGTATTGACACGATTCTTGTCCGCTGTCGCTAGTGTCTTGTGGAATATTGTGTTTGACAAAGCTATCACAGGCGAAAATAGTGGAAGTCTTGCAGGTCTAAAAATTAAAATTAGTAGTTAACAATTTATTAGAACAGTACAAAATAATGAAAATAAGTATACTAAAACTAAAGACTAAATCATAAGAGCTTCCTGGAAAACTCTAATGATCATTAATTGTTATATATTGTTAGAGACTATTCCCACACCAACACTCGACTGAGATGTGGCAATATATGTCCTGGCCTTGATATAGAATCTTCTTATAGCGTCATTATTTAAGATATATAAGGTATTTTAAAACCAGCAATAAATAAAAGAAGAGTATAACACAATAACGCAAGAGGGGTATAGGCGAAAATCCAATAAAGACATATATAGGAATTTGAAAGATCTGGAAACAGTCATCAGGACCAGGAGACAGGTTCTACGGGCACAGGGTCAGAATGAGCGACGAGAGATTAAACAAGAAACTTTTCGACAAAGTATACAGCTATAAAAGTATGGGGGAAATATGTAAAACAAATAACAGAGGAACTGGGTAGGCTAAAAATCACAGGTAAGGAATGCTTGGATAGAGAGATTTTTGGGAAAAAACTAAACGAATTTGGGGTTCTTGCGGGGGAGGAGGGAGAGGGGAGGGATAAAAAGGAATAAGGAAGAGTGAGAGAAACTGTCCAGGAGGATGAAGGAGTATTGGAGTGAAAGGAAGGAGGAAGGTGTGAAAAAAAAACAAGAAATGACATTCGCGTGGTCCTTGCTGGCCGATTCGTGCCCCCCCAAAAAAAAGATTAAATAATAAAACATAGCTACCTATTTTTAATTTATTCACAAAATCATAATAATTACTTAACTTTAAATTTTATTGTTAAAAATATTTTTAAAATGACTAGTTTATATTTTTTTAATACTTGTATAAATATAATTTTGTATTTCAAATTTAAGATCTTCATTTTAAAAATTTAACTTTTATGAAAAAAAAAAAAAGTGTCTTAAATATGATGTGATGCATTATAATTTAGCTAGTTAACAAATAAAATCATATTTTTTATTCGTAGAAAGAAGATAATTCTATGCTAATTAATTCAATATATTAGGATTTTGTAATAAAAAAGCTTATTGGTACATCCTTCATTCCCTATCTTAATTGTTAATTAGACCAGTATTGATAATTTATACTGTATATATAATCATAACAAATTTATCAAGTAATTTAGTTTTTAATTTTATAGATAAAATGTACTTACGTGGTGTTGGTATCTGGAGAAGCTTCATTAGCGCTGATGATAAATAGTGGGAATAAAATTGAAAATATACAGCCACTGAAATTAAAAAAAAAATTAAATGTTTGATTCTATTTCATATTTATATTACTTAAGGAAGAAATAAAGATTAAAGTGACAAAATAATTTAAATTTAAATTCATACCTAATGATACAAGAAGAAGTAAGACTAGTGAGCACAGCCAAAGGCAACCCAAATCCAATGAAATATGGCCAATTGGATTCGATAAAATTAAGTCTCTTGTGAAGTTCCCAGCCCATATTGTACATTTTATATTCAAATGAATATAAGGAATACAACATGCAATTGTGGATCAAAGCAAACACATAGCCAAAGGGGGCAACTGGAAAGTAACTAACTAAGGATGCCTGGAATAAATGGATGAAAAAAAAAATTATACAAAAATCAAAATTAAATATTCAAATATAATTTTTAAAATATAAATATCAAACCTGTATGAGAAAAGCAGCCTGAATTAAAAAACTAAAAGTAATATCTGCTACTAATTTGCCAATACTAGGAAGTAACTGGGGTCGACCACGAGAATAACGATATGCAGAATCAGCTATATCCTAAAACAATAAAATAATCATTTTTATCAATACCAATGGAAAAGCAAAAAAAAATTATTAAATTTTAAACCTTTTTGGTAAAGTTGAGCTACTACTAATTTATAACTATAATAATAATTCAATTTTAAAACTAAATATGTTTTATATGTTATCTTTGGTGAAAAGCATTCTATAACCCAACACTACAAAATAGCAGCAGCTATATGTTTTATTCAACTAGAAAAAAATGTATAGATGGTAATTCCAAATTGAAAAATTTAATTTCAGGATAAGTAGAATATGTAGCAGAGTGACAGATGACTTTAATTTAAACCAATATGACTTTATGCTTCCCAGTAAACAAAATGTTTACAATTTGGAATGTATTTAATGCTGCATTATAATTGGATTTTTGTTTTTATTACTAATATTTTTGTGTTATTCTTTTCATTTTTGCAATAATTTAGAATTATTTTACTAGTACTGTATATAACAGTTATTAACTATTGTCTCGTATATTGAATCTATAACAAATGAACACCCGTCATATGGAAGGGAGGGCCCAATGTGTGTACATGGATTGTGTACTTAAATAAATATGAAATCCATATGTAAGTTTAAAATTGTAAGGTACCATAATTCTAAAAATAATCTACATAGTATTAATAATAAGCTGACAATAAAATTCATTATATATAAACTCAATAAGATCGATTATATTTAATAGAAAATAAATACGTTTTAATTTGAAGTAAAATTTGAAAATTCGTTAATTAGATTATAACCACAAATATTTTTACACACACACATATGTATGTATATATATACATATAAAGTACCCAGAATAAGAAAAAAAAAAGTGTATGGTCTAATATTTGAGTGTGTGTCATTCAAATGACAAAGGTCTAACTAAAAAAATATTCACAATGATAAGACAATTTTCATCATTTTTTTTTTATAAAAGTGGACAAAGTTGACAATATAAAGAATTATAAGCATGAATTGCATTCTCCTATCATTTGATTGATATAAACTTAAATACAATGGAAAAAAAATAATAATAATTTTTACAAACTTTAGGTAATGTTGTACCAGATAACTCACAGTATTGATACAAAACTAAATACATAATTAAACATGAAAATATAAATTAAAGGTTTAATATTGGGAATAATTATATTTTAATAACTCAACCACTGTCTGATGAAGAGTCATTTAAAAAAAGAAAAATTTGGAAAGGTCAGTGACAGACAGACGCAATTAATCTATTATCTTAATAGTTATATTTGTACAAAGATAATTATGTCTCGTAATATTATCTATATCTACCACATGTTGAAAAGTCAGGATGAATTGCATTTTAATATCATTTAACTGATACAAACTTACTAAGCTCTAACTTTTAAATGAATAAAAATACAACAATAACAATAAGCATTCAAATTTAATTTACTTAATTAGAAAAAAGATGCCTACACAGGATAATAAATAAAATTTAAAGTATAATACAATACACAGTAGTTAATTAAGAAATGCAGATATTGATAATTATTAATAAGGAAGAGATGGTTGGGGAGGGGAGGCTTCTAAACTTTATAACAATAAAATAATATTAAATGATTAGCTGTATAATTTTAACAATTAAGTGGCTTCATATCAAAAACAGGCATCTGTCATTTTTAAAAAGTCAAGAAAAGGCCAGTTTTTCTAGTATAGTTTTAATTTTAATCGATAAATGGTTTCTAATGATTTTGGTTCATGATTCAACTTCAAGATTCTTAAATAAAATCATTAGAAACATTTAGAGTAGAATTTATTTAACGAAAATTGACTTTTTCTTTCTTCGCTACCTGAATATGACATGTGTCCATCTTTGATACGATACCATTCAATTCTATTAATAATAATTACCTGAAACCATAAGCTGTTCACAACTTTGCTTAGTACCATAAGAGGGAGAATCCATAAAGCTCTGAATATAATAGAAAGAAAAGAATGAGTAATTGACCACGCCGTACTGCCGATTTCAGATGTCTGTCCAAAAATGAACACCAAGAAGTACTGAACCATAGGCAGGAGGCCGTACTCAAATAACAATATACTCAACCAAAACACTCCTCCATTAAGCCCACAACATTGTAGAGTTCTTTTCAAAATCTTTCCTTCTCTAAAAAAAAAAAAATATATAAGTAAATCAGCATATTTATACTGTTCTTAAAATTGAATTTATTTTTCAACCATATAATGGAGAGGCCTTTACAATTTGGGAGGTAACATTACTTGAAAAATATATTAATTTTTTTGTTGCTATCTTCAAGAAACAACTTATATGTTTTTCTGTCTCATGGAGAAACCATTCCCAAGTCAATCACTCCACTCATTTTTGGACATATCATAGAAATAATTTTAGTTTCAGAATAATGTTACTCCCAAGTTATAAAGTTTTCTACGTTTGACAGTTTTATACATGTCATAGTACCTCAACTTATAAGTATCAATTATGTGAAATATTGTACAACAGAGTTTTAGTTTCATATACTAATGTGAATTAAACTGTAAGACACTTACTGTTTAATTTTCGGAGTCTGTTTAGGAGTTTTTGATACATCTGATTTTCGTGTTTTGATATACTCATAGGAAGGTGGTGAACCCCTCTCTTCTTTTTCTTTAATATTTTTGTCTAAATAAAAAAGGGCAACGGTACCTTTAAGACTATCTATCAGGCCTCTGACAATTGCTGTAAATATTTTCTAGAGAAAATAATAAACTAAGAATATAACAATTTCAATAATAAATCGATTAACTAATCAATACAATACACTTACACCGATATTTTCCATTTTCATCCAATCTATTCTTCAATCAGTATACATATTAAGAGAATTAATAAAAACAATAAAATAATGTGAACAAAAATGTTAGGTTATAACAGAAATATAAAATTTATTCGTTGGTAGAAGTTCAAATAACAACAAAATATCACGAGAAACCCGCTAAACAAAGAAATAACACAAAAACATTTCAAGTTCAGGGTTCATATTGAAAATATTGGACCCCATTAGGTTCCAAATATGCCATCTAGATATCTAATGACGGCCAATTTAAATATTTTGAATTTATAATTAGCTAAAACGCAATAATATAAACATGTTTATGTTTCTTTTTAACCATGACTAATTTTTCAGGGAGAATAGTTTAGGTTGTTTATTGCGGGGGGGGGGGGATCAGTGGATATTTTTAGTTTTGATTTAAAACGGCACCCAACCAATCTGTAGATTTTAGAAAATGATGCAGCTGACCATTTTTAAATTTGTGAAGTCATTTTCACATGCATATAAAATATAAATAAGATAAGAAAGGGGAAAATAATAATAAGAAAAGGAAAGTTCCTAAACTCAGCGCTGAGCTCATCGATAACATCGGATGCGTCTCTATACTGGGCTAAGTGACACCATCCATGAGCTCAGCGCGGAGTTCGGGAACATGCCTAAACTATCATTTTTAATTATCACTGGTTGGGTGTTTCTATCAGCCTGGACCTTAATTAGACCATTTAATTTTTCAAGTTTAATGGAGCATAATATAATAAAATGTATATATGTATACATAATACCTTTAATGGAGTATTTTTTTTTGTTCTTCCTTGTTTACTTTGCCACAAATAGCTACTATTTTTTACATAGTTTAAAAAAATAACAATGCTGTGACTATTAATAATTGCATACTTTTAAATACAATTAAGAAGGAATTCCTTAATTAAAAAAAATAATAATTTTTATACTCACAAAAATTCATATTCTACTTTTTTAAAAGGAGTTTAATTTTAAGATTTAACTATCAAATTTTAGGAGGAAAGAGAATTTTATCTCTATTCAGTAAAATTATTTCTTAAAATTAATTAAAAAAAGAAGAATTTTAAAATTAAATATTTTTTTTTAGTATTATATTATTTGTCTATGTAATTTAGGCATAATTATATATATTTTTGCCTTACTCATGTATATATTGTACTTATGCATATATTTTTTCAGTTTTTGTAGTAAATTTCCACTCTAAAGATGTTCCTTAATTTTTTTTATAGTGTAAAAATATTATATCTAATCAGCCACGAATGTTTTTAATAAATTTTTTCTTGGATTATGGTTCCTGTTCTCACAATTTATTTACTTTAGTATCATAATTTCCCTCATGCTTGCTATTTATTTTTTAGATGATTGCAAGAAAATTCTCCTGATAAGATAAAAAAAAATGAGACCTGATAGAAAGCGACCCTAGTTAAAATATACAACACAGTAAGGTTTAATTATTATCAAAGATTATTAAATTATTTGGAGTGCTTAGGCTTCAAATCATAACCCAGTGCACCACGAAAATAAATGTTCAAGATTAGGCAAAGAACTCCTGAATATCTTGGAAAATTCCGACAAGGAGAATGAATATGGAGTAGAGGCACCCAACCGTTTTTTCTAAGGAAGAAACTTATTATAATTCAATGTGAGTGTATAAGATAAGTGAATTGTCATTTCATGAAAAGTAAGACATTCAAAAATAAACATTATTACTATTTACTATTATTGAGCAATGTGACGATGAAATTTGACTAAGTGATGTATAAAACTGTTAAATGAAATTTAGAAAGAAAGGCAAATGTTTACTAACATGCATTTATAAGGATATAATTTTTTTTCTTTTTTTCTAACACCTCTTGACTTATTTGTCTTCTGCTATTAGTCTTCTAGCAGCTACGTGGCTGTTCTAGGCGGAACAGGATTTAAACTCATGATTAAATCACTCATAAAATTTTTGTAGGCGCCTTAACTCGCTTGACCACCGCGCCCCCCAGAAGAATATGAGATAGAGGATCTTGGGTTTTCCTGATGATTGATATTGAAATAGTTGCAAGATCCAAATTTGATTTGAGTAACGCTTTTCTTGCAATTCAACAGGCAGCTTCGCTGTTGGGCCTTGAGATAAATGAGGCAAAAACTAAATATATGGTGGTAAAGGCCGAAGGAGCTTAGTAGGTGAAAGTTATATAGAAATATATTCATACAAATTTCAAACAGTACAGGAGTATATCTACCTCGAATCCACTGTGACGTCGACCAATGACATGTTGAAGAAAATAGGATAGAGATAGCCAACCCTTGCTATATTGGCTTAAAGAGGCATATCAGGAGCCAATTTACTGGCAGGCAGGATTATATAAAACTTTCATTAGGCCAGTGTCAACCTACGCCTCACAAATATGGCCGATGACAAAGGTTGATGAGAATAGCCTCCTTATATTCGAACAGAAAATTTAGCGACGGATATAGGGCCCTGTGAAAGAAGGAGAAGTTTGGAGGAGATGAAGAAACCAGGAGTTATACACTCTGTATAATGATTTAAATGACGTTGACTTCATAAAACTTAGAAGGATAAGTTCGGCCAGCCATGTGATTCAGATGGATTAGGGTGATATTCTCAGAAGAGTCCTTGAGGATAGGATTGACCCTACCAGGAGGATAGGCAGACCCAGGCTAAGATGGATAGATAGCGTGGCAGCTGACTCCAGGATACTACAAGGAATACCGAACTGAAAGGAAGCAGCAGTGGATTGAGCTGGATGGCAGAAGCTCCTAGAGGGGGCCAAGACCCACCTCCGGGTAGTAGTGCCAACGAGATAGATAGAAACTATTTTATGAGAAAGAGTTGATAGTGTTTCAACAGTAACAATAATAGTTTTCGTGTTTCAACTGCCTCCCGCAGTGCTACATCCTACGCCCTGATGAAGACCTGCAAAGTGGGTCAAAACGTCAACAAAATTTAAATAATTCTATTTGTTTAATTTAATATTAATTTGACCGCACCCCCCAATCAACTCCTTCTCATATTATATCAACGGTCAACCATCTCTACATCATTAAGAAACTATTTTAATATTAGAAACTATTTTTATGGTAAATGAAGCAGGTTGCATGTCATAAATATAACCAAATTTGACAAACCAATGAATGCATATCAATACAACTTCCAAAAAATACAGTTTATGAATATTAAATAATTATCGTAAATTTATGAAAGCTGAAAAACAAATGGGTTTTCCCAGTAAAGTTGGATGGATTTGAAATCTGTATTTCATTCATCATATGTAATAAGTTAATGAAAAATAGAGACTAACTGTGATAAAATATAAATACTTTGAAAACTTTCAGAGTAAAGGGTGGATAAAATAAAAGTAATATATAATATAAAATAGTTTATTGATACAAATTACAAAGTGGTAATATATTTATTTTCTCACATTGAAAAATAAAAAAAAACACAAACAAAAACTACAATCTATTTAGGAAATAAATAGAAACTTTAGTAGGTAATTATATAACTGTGAATAAATTAAGGTTCACAAGGAATGTTAAAATGACTAGAACGTTTATCATAACAATTAAACTTGGACACTACATCTATATCTTCAATACAAATCCAATCTTTTCAAGATGGATAACAGACACAATTAAAAATAGAGGTAACAGAAGACATTTTTTAGTTAAATATTTTCAAAGCAATCTTAACTAACAACAAATATTTTTCTTCTCCAACATTTGTTCAAGGAGAATAAAACGAAAATAATTTCATTAAAATATTTTTGTGCTCAAATATTCTTTATTAAGCATCAAATGGCACTCATTTAATTTTTTTTTCGTTCTTATACCTCATCCATTCATATTAATTAAGCATTTCGCTTAAGCAATCACAAATTTCCATTATGTATCTCGTTGTATATTTTTAAGTTTTTACCCTTCTCTCTGGCTTATTAAAGCCGTTTCTTTTAACACCATTAGATTTTCCATGACGATTTTCAAAAAGAACGTCTGAATCTGTTTCACTATCGGAAAGAGTGTCTTTAGTCATTGGCACTGAAAATAAATAAAAATAAAATATGATTAAAGCATTTTCAAAACAGAATATATATGCCGTGTGAGAGTTAGTGAAAATTAATATTATGTTTAAACCATTTGGCATGCTGAATATTTAACCAATTGCCTTCTAAACATTAATCAATTAATAATAAAAAGAACAGAAAAAACTAAATCTATTTTGTCAAGTAAAATCTAAGAGCATTTAGATTGATTTAAATTCTATTGTTCAATGATGAATGTCACAATTTTAAAATTTTGATCTTTAATTTCTATGAATTAAATTAAAAAATAGTGTTAATTAGGTGTCTAAACATCCTGTGACAGCCTCTTTGAGCATTTATAAATAAAATACAATGGTGATAAAAATTGTCTGCCACCAGTCAAAAAAAACAAACATTTTAATCCAATAATTAGAAATATATTTATTTACAAATAATTAAGTCTAAAAATATGATTGAAAATATTTATTCATTATATAATTATTGGTCATCAAAGATATTTTGTCAACTCTAATTTTTATTTTATTTTCAGCCAATTAAATGAACAACATTATTTCATGTAGAAGAGAATAATTTGTCATGGGGGGTGATTATTTGTAGATTGTCGGTCACTTGGTTTATATCGGTTCCTCATCTGTGAACGTAAATTTATACATGTTATTTAAATCTATATTTAAAAAATTAAAATTGAAATCTAAGTGTGACATCATGGAACATAAAGACAATACATATTTGTAACATCTCAAAATAACCATTACATATAAGTGTGAAGTGGCAAAACTGGTAAATTTACATAGTATTGGTGAGATGATAGTGTGTATAATAGAATTTTAAAGTTAATATTAATGTAAGTGTATGTATTATACCTAATCAAACCCGTATGGACATACGCCTTACAAATTTACAGTTCTGCAAAAAAGACACACTTACAAAAACTACAGACATTTCAATCCAAAATTTTATGACTTATAACAGCAGCTCCATGGTATGTAATCAAAAAAACTTTACATAACGATTTACGACAACCAACTATCGACCAACACATACGTGATCTCTATTCCAGATCTTAAACTACACGGACATCACAACGGACTTATTAACGACATAGCCACAGCTGACATGCCGATCAGGAGACGACTAAAGAGGAGCTGGATGAGAGATCTCCTTTCCTGAATTAACTATTTTTTCCTCGTGTCCAAAATGTCAATTCTTTTCTTATTAGTTACAGCACATCTGCTTATTGTCAAGCTCATGACAGGTGTGGATGGAAATATGAAGACAAAAAAAAAAAAAATGTTAATGTAGCCTGATAGAGACCAACAAAATAAAAAGTCTTTTACTTCTTGTTTTTCTTTTATTTAAGAGCCTCTTTTACAAGAGCATATTATTCTGATGCCCAGGACAGGTAGAACATCTCTATAAATAGAATTATATTCAGCCCCAAAGAGTTTTCACTTATAACAGGCTGTAAAAGTATCAATCAATATGTTATATTGTGTCAGTCCAATATTTGATTTTCCCAATTTTAATATAAATATTAACAATCCATATCTTAAATGTTTAGTGATGAGGGATGAAAAGCAGATGATAAAAAAAATTATAGGGAAAGTTAAAATAACATCAGAAGACTCCTAATGAGGTGTCTATTTTATCAGATCATGATATACATAATTTCAGAAAGTAGATTTTTCACTGCCTATGACATCACAACATTTCAACGAAACGAGGAGATTTACTGAACACAGTGTGTTAAATGTTAGTGTTGAATCAATGAATGATCCTCATCACGAGCAAGTGAATCAAAACCATGGATCAGTTCTAATCTCAGTAACCGTAATGAGGAAGTTCTGCTTATGCGACTAAGAATAGGACATATCAGGATTACGCACCTTCACTTAATCACTAAAGAAAACCCGCGCATTTGTCGAAAGTGTGGAGAGAGAATGATAATGGCCCATATATTTGACAGTTGCGCCTTTTACCTCAGTAAGTTAAATTAAAAAGGGATACTAGCAAATACTTTGGGAAACAATCTTAACTAAAGTCATTTCTTTTTTATCCGAAGAACTAATTTTTAAAAATATCTGAAACCTTATCTCTTCTTTTTTTTTTTTTTTTATTTCATAACTATCAGATGTAACTATTGTATAAATAAATAAATAAATATGTATATATATTGTAATACACACCTTTATTGGGAGTGGGTAAAAATGATTTAATAAATTAATGCTGAACAATTAAAAGGCAAGCTAATCTAGTTCTACTAGTGCAGGGAAAAGAAAATGGCTGCTCTGTAGTTTCCCAAAAAGGAAATAAAGGTTTTTGTTTTGGCGAGGAGTTGTTGTGTGACTGTAGTGAAGAGAGGACAGGAGAAGTGATCTTGGCTCCAGTGGGAAAAACCCAGTAATAGTGCTACCAATTTGGAAGTTGTGTTTGGCAGAACATTGGAAAGCATTTGAAGACAATTGAATTTAGTGCAACAAAGGAAGAAACATTGAAAATAGAAAAAAGGTTAGCTTGCCAATCCATACTTGACTTCATTATAAAATCAGTGTTTAATTTTAGTATAAATAGTGTAAATAATAATAGTTTGTCTGAGTTGATCTGATTGCCAGTAACCCACACCTAAGATAAATAAATATATTAATACTCTTCTAATTTTGTTTTTTATTTAACAAACTCTTATTTCTTTTGGAAGTATCCGAAAGATATAAAGTGATCTTCTGAAGTTATATTATTATTATTATTTTAAAATATAAGAGGGATGTTACAATATATAAACTTAATTAACGGGGTTGATAACCTACAGGTTTTTTTCTCACTTATAAAACAAATTATTAAATTAAAAAAAAAAATTATCAATATAATATCTGTGGTACCTGTGCATAGTGTGTTAAGTGTGAATTTTCTGAATTTTCAAGGGTATCACCAGAAAGCTAATTTTTCCGTCTTTCTTTTTGTATTATGTACCAATTACAGAGATCGGTATTCCTTTGTGAATCATGGATTAAAACTCGAAAATTAAACTTGCGCTAGTGAAAATCACAAACTTTAAATTGTGTCTTTTTTTTAAAATATGATATTTGCACTTAACACACAGGTGCCATAGATATATAACATAAAATAAAGCTGATAATTAACATACTAACAAATGCATAAATGTACAGTATAATCTTGATATTCCGATGTTTTGTTAACCTCATATATTCCATAATCTGACAAGCTCACGAGGTTAAGAAAAGAATATTGCCATGATGACGAAAGCAGAAGAGTGGGGGTTGTTTTATAGTCCTATTATGCCTATGTTTGTCATTTCTAACTATTGAGTTTTCTTAATGGTTATCAGCGAATGCCAATCTTCCCCAAGGTCGATGGTGCAAAAAAAAGAGAGGAGGAAAGCCCAGAAATAGTTATTTTTTTTTTTACATTTTTACGAATTACCATGGTTTCAGAAATGGGAAATCCTTTTACCCGTCGAGATTGACGTTGATTATATGTTGAGATTGATCAATCTTGAAGTTTTCAATGTTTGATATAAAGAACAAAAAGAAATTTACTCCACTGAAGAAATGGATTCCACAATGCCTTTTCTATTATTTAACAAATCCCAGACAATTTGTTAGCCAATTCTAAATTGTATGGTGATTTTCCAAACACTTTCAACTGTATCAACACAATTTATCATTAAATTTTTTTTTTCCAGAGATTAAACGTTATGCTTTATTTTGCAGACATTTTCGATACGAACCGTTAAGCAATGCTAAATTAGATTGTTGAGGAGTAAAACATGAGAGGAAGGTTTTCATAAAATTCTAAAACATTAGTAGGATAGAATTCTTGTTAGAAGTTCTTAGTTACATATCCGAAATGATGATTCATTTATTCTTGCAGGCGCATTTAAATTTTATTACAATGTTCAAGTAAATTGCTGGAAAGTAAATAAAAAGAGGACGGGAGAGAACCACAGTTAGTCTACAGTGAAACAAAAGCTTTGCATGATTTGAATCTTACTAACTTATTTTGGATTTGTAAAATGAGACCCTCAGTAGTGTAACATGGCAATGGTTACGGTTGTTTATACAACAGGTGACTGTGAAGAGTCACTTGTCTTCGTTCTCACATAGCGTACCTATTTTGTGATGCCGTAATGCGATTGAGAATACCAAAGAAAATCGCTTGAAAAGTCCAAGGAGAAGCTTTCTGTCGTATCGGTGAGGATTCATTTATATTTAATACTCCAATTATTTACAAAAGGATGAATTATAGTGATATATTTAATTATTTTTATTACTGAAGATAATCTCACATTGTGGACCAAGTCAACCGGGGATAATCTTATATTTTGGACCAAGTCTACCAGGGATAATATTGGATATTCTCTCATTCACAATCATGCTCTACCATCTAGACGTCAAAGTAGAGAGATTGATGTCTAAATTGTTTTACAACAACAGTAAATCGAGATATAATAGCCAATCGTATCTGCTGCAGAACTGGACTTAGGTTAAGTTATTACATTTAATTATTAGCATTTTATATATATCTTAATTAGCATTTTTTTATATATATCTTCTTATTTTGTAATACTCATGTACATATTATGTTAATAATTAAGTAAATATTAAAGGAACATTTTATTTTGTTTGTAGTGAAAGTGTCTTATATAATATTTAATTTTGTTTATATTATATATTCCTTTTTTTATATCTAACGCATGAAAATTGATTTATATTAATTATTAATGTTAATCTGGACATAGTAGTCTGGAATATTTAATGATCCAATAACTTTTTGGATTATCAATATTGTACTGCATATATATAAATATAAAATAACTCACATCTAACTTGCTCTGTACTTTCCAGAAGAGCATAACGAGTTTTATCATTAGGTGTCCGTGGATGGCATAGCCTTGAACAAAGACATATGATACCCCAGATACCACTCATTGCCAGTAGTAGGAGACTTAAAAGAGCTATCCCTACATACAGGATGCTCCAACCTAGAAAAAATAAAAAAAGATATACATATACATCTCAATTTTACTAATCATACTAGATACTTTTGATCCATTGAATAAATCTTAATATTTATTACAAATCATTTATTTATTTTGACACTTCATCTACTATTTTCATTAGAAAATTTCGTCATATTAAATTATATCTTAAGACCAAATTTTTTAAAAAATCACGAATTGTTTAATTTAGAAATAATTGAAAATGATAAATTTTGCTGAAACATCTAAATAAATATATAATTTATGAATTCATTCATGTATGAATTTGAACATTTAATAACGTAATACAAATTAATTTTGAAATATTCAATGAACCAAATTTATCTAGAATGACAGAAAAAATATTATTATTTGATAAAAAAATGTATCAATAATAATAAAATTTGATTCATTAGCACTTTTATTTATTAATCCACACATGTCAACTACAGCCATTGACAATCAGCAGATGAGCTGGCACAATCATAAGATAAAAAAAACCATTTCTTTAATTAGCTGGTTGGAGTGTCATGTAATTTATTATGAAATCGTTTGTAGTACGTTCGTATATGTTCATTGATCGTTGGCTTGTGTAAGTGTTGTTATTCATATACCAGAGTGCTTGGGTAATTAGTCGTAGTATCTTAGACTGAAAAGTTTGAAGTCGTTTTATGTGTGTTGGTTTTGCAATTCCATATATTTGTTTCAATAGATATGTATAAATATTTAATTTCTGTCTTGCTTTTAATTTAGAATGTCATCTTAATAATGAGTGCAACAGTTTTAATCTGTGATTTAATGATGCATGTTTTTTCTTTACATGTGGACTCCATATCATTCTCCTGTCAAATTTCAGGCCTAGGTATTAATTTGATTGATTAAATTTGATTTATTATTTAATTTAAATCAATGATCAAACTTATTTGACAAATACTATTTAATTAAACATACCTATTAAAGAAAAAAAAAAAAAATAGGCCAACAAGAGTCGTTATAACTTGCTAACTATTTTTATTAGTTAGATCATTACTTTCATTACAAAGTCAATGATTTGTCATTTCAGAATAAAATCTAAAGGTCGAGCAATTTTCACAGTTTAGTTTTGTCAAGGAAAAAATGTACGCGTAAGTGTAAGAAATAGTTGGAATTTAATAAAATCGATATTACACCATCTACGTATCAAGAATCATCATCTCTGAAAAATCTATCAAATCGAATTAACGTCAGTAGGTATTATGCCTGTCACATCCATTCGAATACAGAATACAGTTTAAATTAAATTTTCAAAAAGAACATTAAATCTTATAATGGCTAAATGCTATTTATAGTACTAGTACAATAATACTATAGCATAAATATAACCTAATTTACATATGTTCACTACCTAACACAAGCCATAATAATCTTAATGATGAAGTACATTAAGTTTAATTGCTAAATGGTAAACTATGATAAAATTGAAACATATTAGATCATGTTTTTGCCAATCCCTATAGCCTCCATCAAGCTTTAGGCAAAATTGAATGAGGTGAAGGAGATTCTTTTCTTTTTTTTTTTTCTTTTATCCCTATCTGGTCATATTTGGCATACTACAATAATTTATTTTCTTGAATAATGAGGATATATATATATACATTTAAAGTAAAATAATATAATACTTACCACAGTTAGATTCTCCATCTCCAATATATTTCTGTATCATGTCCTGCATCCAAAAAGCTTCGCAAAAGCACTGCCTGGTTTCCTGGTCGCAGACACCATGACCTATATAAACATGTTACAAGAAAACCTGAATTTTGGCTTAGTAAAAGACAAGCAGACTATTCTTGAACTAACATATTCAGAAAAAATTCTTTCAGGCATCTTTAAATATTGAACCTTAATCCCTATGGTTTGTGTATAACATTATAGGATTGTTTTACATAAAATGTTTATTTTAATTGTGTGAAAAGTTTCTAAACTCAGCACCGAGCTAATAGATGGATTCAGATCCCTCTCTAAACTGGACAAAACGATGCCATCAATGAGATCAGACGTAAGTTTAAGAACTTGCCAATTTTTTCAATTCAAGCAAAGCTCAATGGTCTCCTTCTGAGCAAAAACAATAAATTAACAGATAACAAAGAAAAGTTCATTAGTACTCTTTTTGAAATTAATTTTATCTTCGATTCATTTGCTAAATTTTATTATAACTTCTAATGGTAGAGGCAAAAGTTTTTTTTCATCTAAAAGCAATAATGTACCAGGCTTGTCAGTTAACTTAAGAATAAAAATTATGTGACCTGAAGATTAAAGTTTTATGTTAATTATATTCATTAGACTTGTCCCCAACTGGCTACTGTGTTATTAGAATGCTAGACATATTTTTAAAAAATCAAATACTCCAAAATGAAAAATTAGTAAAATCTTCTTATTTCTTTAGATAAATGTTTCAAAACAAAAAAGTTTCTTTTAACAACATATAAACAAATATTTTAGGCAATGGAAGAGATTTATTTGTATGTACAATAGACATTATTTTGAAAAAAAAAAAAGTTAAAGTTTGTTTTCTTTCTTTTAATTCATACCCTAATCAATCAAGTAATCTATCTGTATGGGAAATATTAACAAGCAATAGATTTTATACTACCCTTACCTTAGAATATGAAAAATTTTATGTATTTTTTTTAAATTTCAATAATTAACCGGGATACATCATGCTACGTTAGTATTTTAGCAAGTATACCGATAAATAATAATGGAGATTTTGTAATAAAAAATATCAGTAATCCCAACTTTGAGCAAGATTGAATTAGCTAGCTGTTTTTGAAATAAATGTGTTTTAGATAATAATTTGTGCACGTTAAGTGGAATTAAGGGATGGAATTTGAGGACTATTAAGCTTCCAGAGTGGAGATTGGAGAGGAAGCAAAAATAATGAGATATGCTATTGCATATATGGTAATAATCTTTTGTGTATAGAAGATGATAGAAAATTTTGTCATCAAATGTAGAATAGAAAAAACTTTATTCAGGAATAAATCCTTTGAAGAACAGAAGCAGTAAATATTGACTACAAACATATTTTGTAAAATAGCGTAAATTAAGAAATAATTTATTTACCTGAACAGTTGTTTTGACAAATAGTGGTCTGTATGTTAACGACGGATATTTGCAATAAGAACGAGTCTTGAGCAAGTTTACTACTCAGTGTCCTGACAACTTCTGGTCCGGGAACTGATCCTGCAGGGCCCGTCACAAAGAAGATGAGAACAGCTCGTCTTGTTTGGTCAGTCCTGACATCTCTAACGACCAAGCGAGAAGCGTCTCGAAGCAACATCCCAAGTTTGACGAGGACAGAGTCTTTCTGGCTTTCACTCAACTTGCTTGCTTCGATGTTTAGTGTCAATTCTACCAAGTTCATCATTTCAGGATCTGGATAAAAAAGGTCAAATGATATTTTTGAACTTTTTTTTTTTTTTACTGGATAGATTATTTCAATTTCATAATTTAAAAATAACTCACCCGGTTTGACAATAATGGAAACGGTATCTTCATCTGATTCCCCCTGGTCATCTGTAACCCGTAGTTTAAACTCGTAACGGCCAGGTATCACGTTTGTTACCTACATAATGAAACTGAATTTTACAAAAAGAAATTATAATTAAAAATACATATTTGTAATGTTACAATGGAATCTAGATCAGGATCAAATATTTTATGTAATTATCAAATAATCTAGAACTGACAAACAATTTACTTTTTAATTGAATATTTAATAGTTGATCGTTGCATTATAAAGGAAGGAGATGGTCCGAGGTTGCGGTCATAAATAGGCTAAATAGTGGTAAAACTATTTTATTGAAAGCCAACGTTTCAACCCGACTTTGCAGGTCTTCATCAGGGAGGTGTGTTCATCTAGGAGTTTCACTTAGAACTCAACAGGGAGGTGTGTTCATCTAGGAGTTTCACTTAGAACATGAGTTCTAAGTGAAACTCCTAGATGAACACACCTCCCTGATGAAGACCTGCAAAGTCAGGTCGAAACGTTGGCTTTCAATAAAATAGTTTTACCACTATTTAGCCTATTTATGACCGCAACCCCGGACCATCTCCTTCCTTTTTAATTTACTTTTTATCAATAGGTATCTTAATTTTCTACTTTTTAGCTATTTTAAGATCACACCCATAATTATGAATCCTGACTAAGGTACAATTTCTATCCCTATCTCAGACTCATCCATTTATAAATAATTCATGTGTGTCAAAAATAAAATATCATGAAATCTAGTGTAGATAGCAATGAGGTACCTGCAATGAGCTCTGACTTTCAAGTTTATAATTATAGAGACATATTATATAATCTGAAAATAAGTAGGAGTAACTCATATCGACCATGTGATGGAGTTAACTGTTATAGCTGCTTAATGGAGCAGGGATCAGGGGCTGGCAACTGGAGAAAGGATAAGCCTAACGAGGGAATATTCATATCTCTAGGTAGATATACGTCTGTCTTTCAAGCCGAGATTTTAGCCATCGATTTCTGTGCCCAGTCACTTATTAAGGAGGGTATTGTGAACAGATTGATAACAATATATACAGATAGTCAAGCGGCAATTGGGGCCCTGAATAGTTATGCAAGTCGCTCAAAGTTGGTGGATGAATGCAAAGGCAATCTTAATCTTCTTTATAGTACTAACAAGCTGAGAGTAGAATGGGTATCTTGGCACTCAGGCATTCCAGGAAATGAGAAAGCCGATTATCTTGCTAGGAAAAGCTCTGAACAGGTGCTTGTTGCAGCAAAGCCGATTTGTGGGATAACCCTAGGCTTTGCCAAAAGCTATATTAAGACAATTGTGGGCAATAAATTTAAGCTACACTGGGCACAGACTAAGAAACAGAGCCATTCTAAATTATTTCCTGTAGGTCCCTGCCATAAAAGAAGCAATTCACTCCTTCTAATGGAAAGGAATACCTTTAAGCAGGTGACTGGTCACTATAAATTAAATAAGCACCTTTTCAATTTGGGTATAAGTGAAACCTCCACCTGCAGGCTATGTGCCCAGCAGGATGAAACGGTCTATCACATTATTTGTAGATATGATAATTTCGCTAGACTGCGTTACTTTCACTTTGGATGTGATCGTATCACTGACTCCAAGCACTGTGAACTGATTGATCCCATCAGTATCAATAGGTTCACGAAAGCATCTGGCCTGTTTTAACTGAGTTTAGGACGATGCACAATAGGCCTTTTTGAGGCCGCGGTGCACCCCTATGTCGGAGCAAAAAAAAAATTTAGTGTTTAACAAGAAAACAATTTTAGTAGTGATAACTCGTATTACCATTAACAGAAAACAGTATAAATAAAAAATAAAAACTAGGATGATTTTTAGATAAATTGCATTTTAAAACAGCCTTTTGTCCTTATTGCAATTTAGCTATTTTATATACTCACTCATCAATTTGAAAAAAAATATTGTTCATAAATAAAATACATAATCATAAAGTACCATTAACACAGGAGTCGTATCCGAGCCATCAATTATTTTTCCAAGAGCTAAGCTAGAAGGCTCTCTTGACCATTGCCATTTGGCTATACCTAGGTCATCACTAGATTCAGATCCATTCAACGCCATCACGGCAACTGGCATAACAAAAGTTTGATCTCCGCCAGCGTTCGCTTTTGGAGGAGCGTTCTTGTCTAAAAATGAGAAATATTTTAATAACATTAAAAATAATAATTATAAAATAATTTTTATTTAGAGAAAAATCACACAAGAATAATACTTTAACAGAATAATACTGGAGCAAATAAATGAGAACAGTAAAGGTTGAAATTTATTTAATTCAGTGAAGCTCTCATCTTAAAACAATAAATCAAAGACATGCTATGAGGGGTAATCCTATGCTCCACAGGAATTCTTCATTTGTTAAAGTCTAAAAAAAAAAAAACAACAACGAAATAAGTGAAATTTAATGCACTGATTTGATGAGGATTCAAATAATACACAGTGGAGAGAGCGGTAAATTGCTTCTTATTTTCTATTCTGTCCTCTATCAGTTATCTATTAATCTACTCAGCAATCTAAGTACCTATACCTCAAAAACAAAAAGATTTAATTGAAATATTATAAACAATTTCAAAATGATACTAACTTTGGGTAACAGAAACAGCAACAAACGATGAAGCAGAATTATCATTTTCATCTGTAACTGTTAACTGAAACAAGTAATCTCCTTTCGTTAAATTTGTTACATTGGTTTGGGTTGAATTGGCCGATTCTAAAACAGCCTTTCTGGGACCACTGTAAACGAGGAATGTATTTAATACAATTTCTTGTAAACAATTAACAGCTTGAATGTATATTTTAACATGTTTACCTGATTTGTTCCCAGTACCATTTAACTATTCCTATATCATCTGAGCTTTGAGAACCGTTAAGCATCGTCCAAGTCCTAGGAAGGGCAATTGTTACATTTTCTCCTGCACTGGCTAGAACACAGAAAATAGACTTAAAACAAAATTCTGATGTTTAAAAATAATATTCCTCATTGTAATAATGAGTGTTTTTCTACAAACCAATTGGAGGTTTATTGGTGGGAGGTTTGACGAAGACATGGACATCACTACTTGAAGACTGTCCTGCATCGTCGGTAACTTTCAAAACAAACGTGTACATTCCTTCTTCCAGATGAGACAGTTGGAGGTATGGTGTATGCGTGTTCTAAAAGAAATTAAATTAAATTAAACTGAACAGATGACTGCATATATTTTGTTTAGGTTAATTACAATAGTTTAAAATTATCCAAGTGGACTGGTAATAATTAAACTCTTGCAATATTTTATAATTATAAAATAATAAATTTACTACAGTAATTATAAATATCTCCTCTTAGTTTCAGTAAGTTAGACAAATAAATAAATAGACCGAATAACTTTGATTATATCAATCATTTTAATGTAAAAATGAGCCACACTAGAATCATTTTCAACATTATATTTCAATGATAATTATATTGTAATGTACACCTTTATTGAAAGTGAGTAAAAAGGGTTTAATAAATTAATATTGAACAATTACAGAAAGGCAAGCTAATGTAGTTCTACTAGAGCAGGGAAAAGAAAATGGCTGCTCTGTAGTTTCCCAAGATGGAAAATCCCAAAGAGGAAAGGGAAAAAGCTTTTGGTTTTGACAAACAGTTGTGTGGCTGCAGTGAAGAGAGGATGGGAGAGAAGTGATCCTGGTTCCAGTGGGTAAAACCCAGAAATAGTATTACCATCTTGGAAGTAGTGTTTGGAAGAACATTAGAAAGCATTTGAAGACAAATGAATTTAGTGCAACAAAGGAAGAAATAGTATCTATAGAAAAAGGTTAGCTTGCCAATCCATACTATAATTTATTATAAAATCAGTGTTTAATTTTAGTATAAATAATGTAAATAATAATAGTTTGTCTGAGTTGATCTGATTGTCAGTAACCCATACCTGAGATAAATAAATATATTAATACACTTATAATTTTGTTTATTATTTAATAACCTCTTATTTATTTAGGAAGTATCCCAATGGTATAATGTGGTCTGCCATGAGGTTATATTATTATTATTATTTTAAAATATAAGAGGGATGTTACAATATATCTCAATTTAATTTAAACAAACACTGTTAAATGATTACATTTTTATGCAACATGATTTTTGGAATGTTAAACCTTATTTAAAGTTCACTATTAAAAAAAAGAAAAAAAAGGCATGATAGAAGAATACACAATAGTACAAATACCTGCATATCAACGGCTTTGTCCTGATCGCCCGGACTTTTGGTCCATTCCCAAGAAGCTATTCCCTTGTCATCTGTACTTAAGTTACCGTTGAGAGTAATATTATTTTTTGGAAGGTATATAACAATCGAAGGACCAGCATTCGCTTCTGGCGGATAATCTGGAACTTCTAAAACTGTTATATTAGCGATGGTTGAATTTATCGCTCCATCAGTGTCTGTTACTGTCAGCCTAAAAACACATTACAATAAATTAGTTATTAAAATAGACACATGTTGACTGCATTATTATTTCAGTGGTTATGAACACATAACCTTAACTGTCATTTTTTCTATTTGAAATTAAATTTAGATAGTTTAATAATAAAGTCTAGTAAAACTAAGTTTAAAATTACTACTGTATAGTAGTATAAAGTATTACTGTTTAAAAGTACTTTTGGGCTAATGGGTTATATAAGGTAATATTTTTATTTCATATATCTGGACTTAAATAAATAGTCCGTGGAACAGACCCTTTTTTTCCCTATAAGCCTGAAACTTCATGGATAGCTTCATTTCATTGTAACCTACAAATATTTTATTAACGAAAACTCTTGGAATGGGGCATTTTCAAACTGGAGGTCGGCAAACTTTGTCTATTTAATAAGGAACTAAAAACTCGTAAATACCCATTTGCTTTCCCCTTGGATTGTTATATAATTTGATCAAAAAAGAAGAGAAAAAAAGGTGGCCTGCAAAAATATTGGGCTGTAGGGCCTGTGTTACCTCATTATTTTGACATTTTTGGGAGTGTAAATCCTGGCGAACGGCTCAATATTTTCGAAGACCACATTTTTTTTATTTTTAGGTAAAATTATCATGGGTAGTTATGAGTTTTTCGTACCTAATTAAATAGACATAGTTTGCTGGGGTCTCCAGATTGAAAACGACCCAATTCCGAGAATTATCGTAAATAAAATAGTTGTAGGTTACGATGAGAAGAAGCTATGTATGAAGTTTCAGGCGGATGTTAATTTGATAAAAGAGACTGGGAAAAAAATTTGAATGCATTACCATATAGAGGCTGCAATTATAGAAAATATAATGAAATGAAAAAATATTTTATTATTCTGGGACTGTTGTCCCTTTCGAACAAATAATAAGTACAGATTGTAAGTCTGTGTGGTTACAATTAGATTATATATTTACAATAAGAGTCGACTAAAAATAAAAATACTGAAGAAGAGAAAGAAAATTGAACATATATATAAGAAACTAAAATAACCTAAATAAATTGAGGTAGTCTCTGGGGGTGCTTAGATATTTCTCTTAAGTATATTTCACAATCAGTCAGATTGAGAAAGGAACAAAAAACTGAAAATGATTTATGAATGGGGTCTAAATGAATGACTTGGTAGCCAATGTGTTCAAATAAAAATAAAAAATCTGGTGCGCGCAACACACAACTTTCACTTACTGATCTACTTTGAATAGAAATTATTTTTTGGCAATGCTGGGCTATTATATAATTTTTTGAAGTGCATTTTAAACGGAGCTAAAGCTTAAAGCTTACAGATAACAAGTCATTAAGACCATTATAATTACAAAATGTCTATTTAATATATCGACAACAGGCAATAAAAATCTAGTCACTCCATCTGCTTTTATAAACCACACAACTTTATTTGCTTTTATAAACCACAGAATGACGAACTCCAATTTCAACATTTTTGAGTGATGTCATTTTAGTGATATTTTTAGTTGAAAAAGTTATCTATGCAGACAATGAGTAAGTTGATTCCGGAGGTGGTTGTTGAAATATAGAACTGAGAATAAAGGTATAAATTTAGGTACTTATTTCTTATGAAAGATGTACTTTGGAAAGATACGTTTTTTTTTGGAAATTCTATAAACTTTTAAAAAACCACAATATTCCCCAAAAAGTGTATACTTTTTGAGTTATTCAGAATTCAATTTTACCATCCCTCGTAACTTTTTTTCCAGCTTCTTTTCGTTGAAGTATGTTATATAGATAAATTTAAAGGGTGTCGAGAAAATGACTTTAGCGAAGTTTCATTGAAGTCGTTACATTTGTTTAGGCGCTACAGTCTATAACAACGCAGGTTTTTCTGCATTTTTTTTTTCTCCTTTATTAACTTATCAAATTCTTTCAAAAGTTATATTTATCATTTTTTCGTAACTTTGAATAATGTGAAATGATTAACTTTTTAAAATAAACCATATTAAAGGTACTTTAGAGGAAGACGTATATGAACATTGGGCATTTAAGCCCTGTAAATGACATCAATGGGGATAAGTTCTAATTGATATTAAAGACCACTTAATTATACAATGATACACTGAGTTTAATCAAAATTTTTAGAGCAGTTTTTGAGAAAATTGTGAAAATATGTTTCTGCGTTGATATAAAGCGGCACTTCCGGTTAGCCGATTTTAAGGAAAAAGTTGCCGTCACATCTAAGGCATATACCTATCTTAAATACGTAATATCAGTTTGGTATGACATTTCATTTTTGAGCTAGACTGCTAACATACAAACACACAGACCATTTTTCGGGACTTGGTCATTTTGACTCAGGGTACCTCGAAACGTATATTTCCGTTGAAAATTCAGATTCAAAAATTTTCTCGATCGCAATACTTACCCTTACTATATATCACATATAGACGTAAGTGAAAGTAAAAAGGAGCACATAAGTAACTTACTTGAATGTATAATTTCCTGCTTTATGAAGGTTTTTAAGCTGTAGTGTTTGTGTTTCACTGAGGTTTGGTTGATACCCCAATGGTCCTTGCTGAAGATCCCAATGGTATTTGACAATACCATTATCATCCTTACTTGAGGAAGCGTCCAGAACCGCCAAAGACGTAGGCAATTTTACTGTCTGATGAGGGGGTAAAACTATTGCTATCGGTGGATCATTGTCTCTCTTTTCTGATAAAAACGTGTTTTTTAGATATATAAATTGTAATAGTGCTCATTGAAAATATAAATTCAAACATATATTGCTTTTGAAAAATAAGAACAAAGAGGTGATATTACATACGTGGTAAAACAGTAACATTCGCTGTTTGAGTTCCAGAAACACCTGGGCCTGTGACGGTTACTTTGAATGTGTAAAGCCCTTCAGTCAGATTTTTAAGTTTTAATCTCCCTCCATTTTTCTCGACAACAGTATTTGTACTACCATTTGGTTGAGTTAACAGTTCCCATTTATAGTTATAAGTATCTAAAAAAAATATATATATGTTTTGCAAAAGTATTCATTTAAAAAAAATAAACAAAACAATAGCAATAACAAGTTTTACACTGAGAAATCAATGATTTTTTTCTTTCAAACCAAAGTAAATGCTGATTTTTAACAGAAAGGGATAAGTGTTATTAGTTATCATTCTGTAGGTGCTTCATAAAACATTAAGAAATATAATACCTCAGTAGAAAATTAAACAAGAATCAGTCAATAAAATTATTAGCTAAAGTTGTCTGAAACCGCAAGGAAACAGTTTTATATAACAATTTTCTGTTGTTTTTTTGGCTTGCTTATTAATTTTTTTAATATTTATTCAAATTTTAATATTTATATCGCTGTAATCTATACAATTAAATATTAAATAATGCCAATGAAAACATTTAGGAAAACCGCATATGTATATGTACATAATATTGTCGGAGTCCGTATTTGATTATGCTCATGTTACGTATGGAAGCCTGTTCTAATCTTTGGGCCAGCTCGGCCTTTCTCGTATCCCTTTGGTTCCTTCATTACAACTATTATCTGTTACAATCTCGTATTTCTCCTTTAGTTAATTATTAAATTCTTTGATATTTTATATTTAACTATTTTTTATATTAGAGATCAATGTGAAATGGTTAATTGTTTCAAATAAAAAAAAATTAAAGGTACTTTAGAGGAAGCTAATATTGAAAATTAGACATTTAAGCCCTATTAGAGAACATCAATGAGGAAAACCTACATAATATTAAAAACTGCTTAATTTTAAAGTGATATGATGAATTTAATCAAACTAGTTTTTGAGAAAATAGTAAAAATGTGTTCCATCAATGACATAAAATGCTACTTCTGATTAGCTGATTTTGCTGTAACATCTCAGGTATAAACAAAACTTAATTATGCAATTTCACTTTCATACGACTTTTTGTTTTTGAGCTAGACCTGTCAAATACATACAGACACATACACACACACAGACCATTTCGCAGGACTTGGTTATTTGGATTCAGGAGACTTCAGAACATGTATTTTTGAAACTCAGATTCAAAAATTTTCACGATCGCAATACTGTCCCTTACTATATATTTCATACATAGGTAAGTGAAAGTAAAAATATATTTAAATATGTTAAATTTGTCACTTTGCAACAAAAGGACTTTTAAAAAGTTATCAAATGCTTAAAATAAATATTTACTAAAACATTAATTAGTACTACAAAATACAAAGCAACAAAGAAGACAAATCGACTTGTAAATTTATTTTATTTAAAGCAAACTTTTCACAGGATTTATGTAAGTTTTACAATTCGGAGTTATCCCTTTGGTCAATAGATACCTAAATTAATCTATCTAGATAAAAATAAGAAAATTTGGATGTTTGTTTTCTGTAATTTTTTTAAAACGAAATTTGGTATACTTGACTACTAGTCTAAAAGGAAAGTCGTGATTTCCATGAAATTAAAAAAAAAATACTTCCATCCCTTGCACTACTCAAAATAGAATTATGGCAGTTGATAAAATTAATTCATTTGGTGTTCAAAACGAATTTGAGATTTATAGAAATAGAAAACCATCTTTATTCTGGGACTAGGTCCCTTAAGAATAACAATATTGTTCATACAAATTAACGATAAATCTGGCCAAAAGACCTATTACAATAAAGAATACCTAAAATATAAGTAATAAAATGAATATAAACATAGCTCTGAGGATATATTAGCGAAAGCAGATGGGTACTAGGGTTAGAATACTACAATATTGGTGCTAAAACAAAAACAAATAACTAAATGAAATTAGAAAGGAACACTAAATAAAGTTTATAGGCAAACCATTGTAGTGATAAAATATAAAAAAATAACTAGAGTAAATAAATGATTTACATCTATAGATAAGAAGTTTAACTGAACACACATAAACATATTGTGAAAAACTATACAAGTATTGTGATCTACCTATGAAGTGATAGATTAAGAGGAGGGAAAAAAAATATATATATATATACACACACAAAGAGAGGAGCGTGTAGAAGAGAAGTAAAAAAAAAAATTTCAAAGAAATATTTATAGTATATATCTTGTAAAAAATACAGGACGGTCTCGATAATCTGAACCCTTAGCAATTCGAACAAGAAAAAAAAGTTGAAGTAGCCTGAGGAGTGACGGAATGGAAAAGCCTCTGTTTTTCGGAATTGCTTCATGTTGTAGTAGTTTTCTCTTTATACGTGATGTCCAATTTTCGGAAGTATATTAGCTGAATAGTCAAAGTTCTTCTTTAGTAATTTTTTTTAAGAAGAATGACAAATATTTACATTACCTTGTGCAATTTTTCCATAATTTAAAATTTAACATTTGATACGAAGAGGCAAAGCAATCTTCGTATTCGGACTATCAAGACGATCCTGCCGAATCAGATGGTTCATTCATAAAAACCCTTGAATGTATTAGTTCTTTTTATTGTATAATATTGATATGTAAGAACATTCTATAAAAAATAGATAAACCAGAAAAGTTTTATAATTACTCAACTTATTTCTCTGAATAATATAATCTTAAAAAATTGTCCCTTATCAACTGAAAACCTTAATTATAACTAATTAGGGATGATTATTGAGGATAAGAGAAACAATGATGTAACATACTTCGCCATTTCGGTCTTCATAAATTAAATATTAAAATATAATTATGATTTTAAATATTAAATTTTAAAAAATATGAAAATACCAGATGTTTCAGCAGGCACTGTAAATGCAGATAATGTAACTTCATCCTCAGGTAAACGAACTTGTTTTGATATCACCGATACAGTTATGATCTCATTAGGTGTTGGTGTAGGCGAGACAGATTTATCTTCTTCCGTCTGAGAGCTGCTGAGTTGCAACTATATAATAAAAGTTAATTAGAAAAGAAATCATAGCAGCAAAGGAAAATTTAAAATTAAATCGTAAGTACTAAATAAGATGCTAAAACAGAGTGAATTTTTGTGAAAACAACAGCTTTTTAATTGTTACACTGCAGTATCAAAAGATACCTAAGTAAATATATTATTAGTTATAACATTTTAAAATAGATATCATTTTACAATAATGAACATGAAAATAATCGAGTTAATACATAATAATATACAGTGAACTCTCAATATAATATGGACTAGGATATAGCATGGGCTAGGTCTTGTTCATCTCTTTTATTAGTTTAAAAATAAATCAACATTATAAAATTTTTACATTTTGGCAAACATAATAAGAGTTGAAACAATAAAAGACTTAGGTCATTCACGTAAAAACGCAGAAATCACCTGATAAAATTCAAATGCGCAGGCAATCAATGATGAAATAATATGTTCGCCGAGCAAAAGGATGTCAAAATGTCTTTGCCAAAGCAGCCATACAAGTTAAAGGGACAATTTTTCAAAATATGTATAATCTCTTATTTCTTGTATTACTAGTCTGAGTAATATCAATCGATATTACTTTTTTTTTTTTTTTTTTTTTTTAAATACTAATATATTAGTCATGTGGTGTATGTTTGAATTGAAAGGGAAGCAAACTTAACTGTACAGTTTCTTTTTTTTTTTTTTTTTTGTGGTTGGCTGAAATGGAAAATTAATAAATTATAAACCAAAATGACTGTTTAAAATACTCTCCGGTTTAATCAACAGTAAAATGGAAAAAATGAATAAAATAAATTAGTTTGAGAAATTGATTAGTTTATTATTAATAGTTCTCAATAATCATAAATAAATTATTGAATGAAGTTAGTCGACTGTTCTATATATCATAAGTAGTAAATAGTCAGGACATAGTTATTTTTAAGGTTTTTATTAGTGGCGACATTTTTTGTCTCTTCTTGTCACTTGCGACATCACTTAAATACTTTCAGTGCTCGAAACAAGCCCTGATGATGACCTACATATTTAGGTTGAAATGTTGAAACTAATAAAAACCTTAAAAATGACTGTGTTGACTATTTATCACCTATTCAAAATAAAAGATCACTAACTACAGCAAAGCTTGAACTGAGCACTCGTGGGGATCAGAAAGGTAACAAACTATTAAAGAACTACAGGATAACAAACTGCAAATATCTTTCTATAGTGTTACGCTAATGTATCACATATTTTTCAATATTGTTAATAGCACTTGTTAGTTTCTTTCAAATTATTAAAACATTAAAAACAGTTTTATTTAAAATTATAATAAATTTAATTTCACTATAAATTTAGATACCTAATCTGTAGATTAATCTTTGTGTAGTACTTTAATTTATAATTCTTTTTTTTCCTGTTAGCTTTACAGATTCTTTTACTGAATTAATCAGCCTTCTCAATCTCTGTCTATTTGGACTACTGCTTTAGAGTTTTTTTGCATGAAGCTCTGCAACATCTTTGTTGATTTTATTTTGTTGTTAATGGATTGATTTGAGCTACCTGTCATACCTAACTTGACCTCCTTGCCTTAATTTAAGCAGTTTTTATTAGTCCTTCTCTTCCATGTGTCAGTATTCTGATCCCGGATCACTCCAATTTTTGCACTTGGGGATTTTCCATTTACTTTCAATAATTACATGTATGGTAGTAGAGACCAAGTCTCACAGCCACACATCATAGCATTGTGTGCCCATAATTGGAAACTTCTAGAGATTTTTCTCTGGAACTGGTGATATCACACTTAATTCTTTAATCAACGATTGATTCTTTTCTGCCTTATGTATATATAGAGAGTATCTAATGTTTATAATACAGGTATTTTTATTTCATCCAAGTCACGTTATAAGGAAAGCCTACTGTATATCTACCAAATAAATCTAAATAATCAAAATAAATTATTATGTAAGACCGTTTATATAAAGTAATGTTTCAATAGGGGAATCGTCAATAAAACTTTCATGTTGTGATAATAAATTACTTATCAAATAAAGGTTGTATTAAAAAAAAAAAAATTGTTTTTAAAAATACAACATGCAAGAACTTCCATGTTTTTTTATTTTTTTCCCCCCTAAAGTTGACATTGAAACTCAACTTGTCATTGCCATTAGGTATTTAAGGTAAGAGTAGATCTAAAAAGTATTTAAAGATTAATTATTAATTTTCACTAATGTTGCAGCATAAATAGTTTATTATTTGTTAGAAATTTGAAACAGAAGCAAGGAATATAAGAAAAAAGTTTTAACGATGGGGATGAATCCACGAAATGTTAAATTAAATAAAAAAAGTTTTAAAATAGTTCTTGCTTTATCTATGGTCCAATAATATATAAACTTCCAAGAAAATTAAAAACAATTTTTTTTCAGATTTAAAAAAAAATAATAATGAGAGAAAGCAAAATATACTTAAGTAAAATACAAAACAATAAAAAAATCACATCTATTACCTTAACATTGCCAAGAGGAGATATAATTGTAGAAGTCAATTTTGGATGTTTTGGAAAATCACTTGAATTTCCTATGCAACAAAAATTCAAGAGAACACAAAGTTAAAATAGGTATGTAATAAAAAAAAAAAAAAAAAAAAAGTGAGTAAAGAATTAAAGTCTTTATACAATTTTCAAATATTTCAAACAATGTTCACAGATCAGAAGAGAGAAATAGGCAACATTATTACATTTATTATCTAGTCAATTATTGGAATTTGTATACTTAACAGTAGGATATATAATGGACTCTATAAACAAAGTTTGTTTATTTGAAGAGAATTAAATAATTTATAAATCAGAGAACCTAACTTTTGTTATAGGAGTGAGGGGGGGGGGAGAGAAGGGTTCTTCTCCCTCCTTTCAAACTTTAAAAATATTATTAATCAGATTTGGATAATTTTTAGTTAAATAAAGTACATAGTACATATTATACAAATTAAGAATTAATCATTGGTTATTTTTATTTTTCAATTTGTGTTATATCCAAGTTTTTAATATTACATGGTATTGATTTCAAACAAACTAATAAAGGTTGGTTCTGACTATATTTGTATAATATAATAATAATGTATTTATTGAAAAAAAAAGAAGTTTATTTTGTGATTGAGCAATGATTACTTCCAATTAACAACAATTGAATTTATTTGTTGTATTATCAAAATTGCATGTTTACAAGTTTACGTTTCGGGATATTTACTCCAATCTTCAGAATCATAATTCCAATGATCTTGTGGATACATGTCTTAAATCTAATATGCTCCATCGTCAGTTTCTATTTCATGTTACAATAAATGGCAGACACCCAATAATTAGTCTAAAAGCAAAATGTTGCTCTAGATGTTATATACCTAGATTTATTGTAACATGAAATAGAAACTGACGATGGAGCATATTAGATTTAAGACCTGTATCCACAAGATCATTGGAATTATGGTTCTGAAGATGGGAGTAAATATCTCAAAACGTAAACTTGTAAACATGCAATTTTGATAATAAAACAAATAAATTCAATTGTTGTTAATTGCAAGTAATCATTGCCAAATCCCAAAGAATATAATAAGAAGAACAAAGAAAAAAGTTTACATATTTTCTTGCTTATATAATACTCTTGGCAAAATACAGATACTTTAAATGTTAATATACAACACCCAATAGGATAATAACATTAAGGAATAACAATGCCAATAGCTTGATGAAGAAAATATCTTACTGCATTATCTACACAACTTTATTAAAAGTTAGAAACTCAAAACTATTATATAAGACTCAGTATTCATCTCTATTTTATGGATATTTATTTTATATCAATAATTTTTTTTTTTTTTTCGGTACCTCAGTACAAATTTCAATCCACCCTTCAAGTGGGGCAAGATCTTTTGTTTGTAATATAAATGGGATTCCGAGAATAGAATAAGATTGACTAATTCACCATATAATTTCATTTTCATCTGAACCCTCTCGATTCAAACCTTGCTTCCTCTTCGATACCTGATAACCCTCCAAGGCATCTGAAAAGAAGACGGCCTCTTGATCGACTTATGTAAATATATTATTAGAGTGCTACCAATGGGTAGTCTCTCAACAAGCATTTTCATGCGATTGTATTATTATCGTGTGTAGATTTACTGGATGTATTTTTAAATTTATACAGTTGTAAATCATATGAAAAAAAAAACCCCACTTTATTTAGATCATGATTAATGACTTCCACAAATTCCATACTGGTGCTTTTCAGTAAAATTCAGGGTACTAATTAGCATCAATTACCTCACTGCTTTCAACTCCTGCTCGCTATAAACGAATAAACAAATTGGAGGTCAGGACATTACCAGATAGTTCAATCACTTCTGTCTACTTTTGAACACACTCGGCTATTCTCAGAGTTTCATCTGTGATGTGTTCGTGAGAACATGTGCTACCGATGAATGTGGAGTGAAATTTGTACAGTAGTACCTTTTCTTTTTCTTTTGCTGATGCTAAACATGATACTTTAGGTATAAGCAAATAAGATATGCAAAGCGAGAATATAAAAAAAAAAAAATTAGGCTTGATCACTTACCAATGCTTGGAACACATATGTTTAAAGCGTTTCTTTCATAACCTGGTTGACACGTACAAACATTTGTTTCAGAATTCTTAGAAGGCACGCATATTTCATGAGGTCCACAGTCATCTGGTTCGCATGTCCTGATATTTACATTATCTGATGCAGCCATCACCAAATCATCACTAAAAGAAAAGATATTTTTTCCTCACATTAGCAAATTATAGAAATAACTTAAGCAATAGAAATACACGATATGACCATATAACATTAAACGATAATTTTATATTAACAATATTATTTTAGCATTTAAATATTGTTATAAAGAGAATAAATCTGGCCAATGGAAATAGTAATATTGTAATTATTATTAATGAAATAAAATCAATAGAAATAATAAATTCTATAGTCGGTTATAATATAAGAGCATAGAAATAAAAAAGAAGGCATAAAGAAACATTCTGAAACAACAAACACTTAGTAGACAAGATCAACATAAGTGGGGGAATGTTACTGAAAATGGGTAGACTTGGTTCACAATAATCCCCCAAAAATGATCTAATTGCAGAGATAAACCAACTTATAACAAGTTGCAAATGTCATTATTTTCTGTTTTTCAAGAATATATAATTTTAGGATTACTAGAATAATATACTAAACAAAAAAAATTATGAATAACCACCTTGCATTTTTATTATATAAATTTTATCATCACGACAGTATATTTTCAGATGATTAATCTATATAATAAAATGCGGAGTTGTCTCCACAAAATTAATTTGTCCAGTGTATTACAACAGAAACTGAAATATTTTGTTAAGCGGATGCTTAGAAAAAATGGGTTGCGAGCATTGTCATGTGGAGAAGTCGCTTCTCAAGGTAATTGAACAACAGAAAGACAGGAGATGCCTGAAGATATGGACATAATCTAAGCGATAGTGTACTACAGTAGAGGCAAATCTGCAGCAGCTGGGAATCAGAAGATATTAGGTTGTTGCTGCAAATAGACCATCCTGGCAAGCTATCTGTGAGGAGACCCATACTGTGGGAGGGCAGTGGAGTGAAAATTAATTTAACTGCAGGAAAAAAAATTAATGAAAATTTAAATCAATAAAAGGTCAGGCTAAAAAGATTTATAAATACAAACTTGTATACCTGTCATTATTATCAGTCACATCTTCAAATTGAGATGACTGAATAGTAGGTCGAACAAGAACCATACTTGACAAGGTAAATTTGGGGTCATCCCTGATAACAGGTTCACACAGTTCATCATTTTCACATGCAATCTGGAATCAAATTAAAATAAATAATTCTTCTTAATTTTACAAGATTACATCAAAATATGAAAAATAAAAAACAACATCTGCCATTAAGTTTTCATCCTTACCTTGAAGCATGTGGAGTTGAACATGAAAACAACATTGCAATTCTGTTCCCCACAGCATTCTTCTACACATTGCTGCAGAGTAGGAGATTGTTTACAAATACTGAAAGTGCCTGCTTTACTTCCACCTCTAGGAGCATAATGTTTCCAGACCTTCTTTACAAGACTTGGGCATAGGATAGACAATTCAGGTCCTACATTCAGCTGTGATGTTGTATAGGTAGCGAAAAAGAACAACACTGCACAAAAATAAAGCCTTATAAATGCCATCACAGTCATGTTTATACTAGTTGAGAAGACTAAATTGTTCTTGTATCAACAACCCATATCACATCCTTTTAGTCTGAAGGAAGTAGATAAGAAACTGGAGTGCAGAAAGGGTTGTGATTATCACAATTAATTTCTCAAAATAATTGCTACTCCTAATTCACCGTCTTGACATAGTGACCAAAGCGTTCTCTCTTATCTTACACACCTGGGGGTGTCTTATCAACAGCTGATTACTTTGACAGTAGTATTTTTACAAGAAAACAATTTCAGGCCCCAACAACATTAAATATTTACATATACAATATTTACAGCGCAAATTACTCATATTCGTACGATACTAGTATGAAAATTCATATAAATAATATTACCAGTGTTCGGTATTTTTCACATTAAAGATTTTTTTTTCTTTGATTCAACCGACAATTTCCAGTTTAATGTAGCTAAAAAATATATTTAAAAAAACTACTTTTATTACAACGATTTCAACTGTATTCGACTCATCTCAGAGACAAAGTCATTAGCAATTATTTTCAAAAATATTCTATGAAGATTCGGTAAAATATTTGTTTGTGCCTTCCACTTAAACAAAATGATAAAATTAAAATCGGTAATTAAAAATTGATAATTGAGCTGCAAACAAATCGATTTTCAAATCGAACATATAATTTGGAAGGTTAATGAGCTGTTTTCTTAACCATGAAGCGGTGTTACTTAATTCCTGACAGTTTTGAATTGCTCTTAGTCGAGGACAGTGAGGAGCGGACGGATTTAGTATGAAATAGTTTTACTTCAGTATTGTTTGATGGTGACGATTTTTGGACCGAATTAAATTATTAATTACTTACCTGTTCTTGAATCAGTACTTAAAATGATCAAGCATATTCTTCCATACTTTGTTAGTGGTACAGTAGTGAATGGTTTTGGAAGAGGGTCTAAAGAATTAGGGATTCCAACTGCAAACTTCCCATCAGATGTAGTCAAGAATTTACCCGACGATTTAGAAACTGGTAGGTATTAATTTGAATATATTTTTATTTCCATCTTTAACTTGCAATTACATCTTCTGATTTTTTTACTATAGGTATCTACTTCGGATGGGCCAAAGTCAATTCTGGACCTGTATATAAAATGGTGATGAGTGTAGGTTGGAATCCATTCTATAAAAATACAGAGAAGACAATGGAAACTCACATCATACATAAGTTCGAACAGGATTTTTATGGATCCACAATGAAGGTTTGCGTACTGGGTTACATAAGACCTGAAAAGAATTTTTCTTCTGTTGATGAGCTAATTGCTGAGATTAAGGAGGACATCGCAGTCGCTGAAGCTGAATTAGACAAAGAAGAATTTGCCAAATATAAGAATAGTGAATTTTTTTCGTCTTGAAGTGTCATGACATTGGTATTAGACCTTTGAACTCGCCCTTTTTTTTTATTACTTAGTATCGTACTTAAATTTATTTTGTTGAATATTTGTAGTTTTATTGTTAACTAAAATTTACCTAGTTGTACAAATTTTAATTTACACATGAACTATGTGTTGGATGATTATAAAAATATATATTTATATATAGCTCTTTCAATCACAATGTGATATTATGATGTGTTTGTATTTAAATAAACAATTTTATTAAATGTTTCATAGATTGGTTTTTATTATTCTATTTTCCTCCCCAAGTGATAAGTTACATGTTTTCTGTTTTTATCCTCTTTTTGGGTAAGTGAATTATTAAAATTTTTTTTTCTGATAATGTTCATGAATAAAATCAAAGACATTGTATTTTTAAAGTGTTGATAAATTTTTTAGGGAAAGTGTAGCCTTGATTTCGAAATATTACCGACATTGGTGTAAGTTAGCTAGTGACAGACATAGTTTTAATTTACAATTTTGAAAAGACATCTTATTATAAATAAAATATCAACATAACAAATGCATGTGCTTGATTATTGGTGACTGAATGGAATTTGATGAGTTTGCAGTTTATTCATTAAAATTAAATTACACTATTGTAATAAGTCATTTAATGCTTCATGTTTGTTCTCACATTTGTTCCTCATTATGAAATTTGTGAGTATCATAAAGATATATTGCAATTTTACAACATAGATTAGATAAAAAGCATCTTATAAAATATTGAATATATTATTTCTAAAATTTAATAAATATGAATAGTTTTTATTTATTGATTTTTTTTTAGTTGCTTAATTATAAAAATTCTTTTTTAAGTATGCTGTTGGGTGTCTAGCTTAAAAAATAAGATTAATGATTATTCAAAGGACAAATACCGATACTAGAAGAGTATCAATATATTATTATTAAAGGTACATTTTATAATTCAGTTATGGTTTAAGAATAGTAAAAGTATTTATTATTTTTTTTTTTTTTCGCAATCTGATCTGGAAAACGCAACACAGGGTACTCAGAAGGGGAGAGAATGGTGTAAGTTGCGCCATAAAAAAATTTGAGAGGGTACATTTTTACGAGATTATGAATTTTTAAAGAAGGCACATTTAAACAGACATGAATCTTAGAAAGGAAGCTTATATATATTTTTTATTTTTAAAAAGGATTAACTTTCAAACCAAGTAATAGGGGAAAAACATGGAACTAACCACAGCAAGTGTAATTATATATAAATTGTATTTTTTATAAGTCTATTTTCACTTGCACCGTTTTTGAGTAGAGGGAAGAAATAAAATCACTTGGAGAAGGAAGGACATACCCTATCATCTTGGAGGGGAAGGATGAACACCCTCTGAGGTAACGTTTAGTTGTCCAAGGAAAAAAAAGAAAAAGTTGGATGATTGAATTATTTCTCTTCCAAATTGTATAAATAACTTTTGAATTTTACGCATTTATAAGTAATAAATAAATAAAAACTCGTTATACGTTTTTATTTTATATCTTCAGTTTTAATTTCTTTGAAAGCGTCTGGTTTGTGCCATTTCGTGTAGTATATAGGACTCTATGCCCTTGTTAATTTACTTGTTAATAGGTGTTAATTTATCACAATTTTTGTCGGTTAAAAAATAATTGGAGGCAGGAGACTTGGTGATAATGTTGAGCAAATTTTATTTTTCGAAAAATGAAATATGGTCAGAATGTGCAGTCAAGATATTATGTCTATTGAATTTGCCGACGTTTCAAACCTCCATAAAAAAAAAAACAAATAAATAAAACGTTTCATTTATTTATATCACAAAATATTTTGTTAGCATCTAGTAATGTTTTTATTGTTGTTATATATTTCCCGCGTCTCATTTATACATTCCACCTATCTATTCTGTTATACTTTTATATCTATCATTTTGCTACTGTAATTTTCTTTTTAACTTTTAGCTCTTATGATGACCCGCATGTTTGGGTCGTAACGTCAGCAAACTCAATAAACGTAATTTTTTGACTGCACTCTCTGACCATTTTCATCCTTAAAATTTCAACAGTCAACTATATACCCATCTCTAATTTATTTTCTGATTGTCGTGAAAATTCGTATTTAACATTTATTTGAGGTACGTCTGGAGACGTCTCTTGTTTTAAGTAATTTATTATACGTTTGAATTCTTTTAATACTATCAGAAATATCTTTTTCTTACTTAAAAAAAAAATCGATTAATATATTATCGGTTCTTGGAGAGTACTTTCAAGGATCCTCAGAATTCAGACATGGGTTTAATATTTTTCGATCTAGTATCACCAAAAATAGTATGCGGTGTTGAGCTCTTTTTATCAAATTATTAATATACATCTAAGTCTTCGTGAATGGGTTCATCTCATTATAACTTATTACTTTTTTATTTATGAAAATTCTTAGAAATAGCCTGTTCTCATTAAATTAACTTAATTTACTGAGGTGCTAAAGGCTCATGAATACACATTTGCTTTCCACTTGAATCGTAAGATAATATGATTGCAAAATCGAGGAAAAAGATGGCCTAAAAAAATATCGGGCGGTTTGGCCTATATAAACTCGTTATTATGACATGTTGGGAGGGGTGGTCATGCCGAACAATAAAATATTTTTGTAGGCCACATTTTTTCTCGGTTTTGTCATCAAATTATATTCCAATTCAAGTGGAAAGTAGGTGGTTATTCATGAGTCTGTAGAGACAGTGTCTACCGATCTCCAGATTGAAAACGCCACATTTTCGCAAACAAAAAACGCTGCAAATTTGTTCACAATGTTTTATTATTTCCAAACAACTATACATCTAAAGTAACATTACCTTCCCAGTGACAAAGAAAAGGAAATAAAAGGTGATTCCAATTATTGGCCTAAACATTTTTTTTTCATGATTAGTAATTTGCTAAAAAAATAGCATTACTTCAGTAACACACTCAAAAATCAAAATCAAAAACAAAGGATATAACCTTTGCAATAGAACATATAAAAATATATCTAGAGAGCATATCTTTGCTCTAAATTGACCGATTTTTTTTTTTTAGGAAATTTCATAAACTTTTAAATAACTATATACAAAATCTACAAAAAAGTGTATACTTTTTGAGTTATTTCGAATCTAATTTTAACACCCCTCCTAACTTTTTTTCCCAGCATCTTTTCGTTGAAGTATGTTACATAGATAAATTTAAAGGGCATCGAGATGAAGACATTAGCAATGTTTCATAGAAATCGGTGACCCCAAGTCTGTAGCTTCTCTTTGTTTGCGGAATCCGTTAGAGACTTGAACCATGGCTACCAGAATCGAGACTTGCCTCTCGCCAACTTCTAGACAGGATCGTTCCACCGAATCAGATCAATCAGATTTAAAGATAACATTGGAAGTTTATTTTTATCCTCCGACATCGGGAAGTGGTTATTGGAGAACGGTATAAGTAGGACCATACGCCGGGATCCGGGTGGAGGGAAGTCTCCTGTGGCGGGGATAGTACCAGCTCTGCACAGGTCTTCAGGAGTGGTCCAACCGGTCGTCATGTCGTGGTAAGTTTGTCCTCATCTTCTTTAGTCTTGTACGGAAGGTGACGCTCCTGCAATCTTAAACTTGCCATAGGAGGAACTTAGAATTACAATAAATAATTAAGCAATTTTTGATCCTAATAAATCTTTTAGTCTTGTTTTATTATTTTTCACATGTAGCTTGGTGAACTTGGTGTTTTGACAATTAATAAAATTTTTAACCGTTGGCAAAGTATTAGTGTCACGTACCAAAGAAATTCCTAACGATTCATATCATATAGATCTATCATAGCGTTGCCCAAATGCGAGACCGAGTCGAGTCTTGGTCTTGCAAACTCAGTCTTGGTCTTGCACAAGAGTCTCGTAACAGTCTTGCAGTTACCTATTAGCTTATCACTAAAGAGATATTACTGTACTTTTTTAGATATGAGAAACTTAACTAAGTCTGAATGAAAAATTAGAAGAGTTGAATGCAAAAATATATTGATTACACCAATTCTTTAAATATAGTAACTAAAATTGTGAAGTATTAGTAACTATTTTGTCTCAATTTTTATTCAAAAAATCTATTTTTTTTTACCAGTCTTAGTCTTGGTCTTGCAACAGATAGGCGGTGTTGGTCTTGGTCTTGCAAAGTGCAAGATATTTCGTTAAATCACATAGATTTATTGAATTAGTCATACAGTAATTTTTAGTCATATCCTATATTTGTGAATTAAATAGAGCCGTCAGATCTCCGATGTGTAACGCTCGAGTAATGTCGGCAAGAGGCGACTAATTGAAGTGTTTTTGCATATTGATTAAAACATCTAAACAATTAAAAATCGTGAAATGTTCATCATTCCACCCTCTTTGTAATGAGCTATTATTAAAAATTGTATCTTAACGCGATGCCGTCTTAGAGAGGCGAAAAGGAAAAAAATAGTGTCGAAAATCGAAATGTTAACGAGTTTTATGGAAGATATGGATTAAAATATCTCAGAAACTAAAAATCGGTCCTGCGCACTGTAAGCGAGGGAAATGTTCAGCATTTCATCCTCTTTATTATGAGTTTTATTATTAAACCACTTCTTGCGTGTGGTCTAACGCACACAATTTAGTTTTTTTTTTTCCGTTTTAGTTTCATTTTCCCTTATTGAAGTTATTATTATTTAAGTTCACTGTTATTATGTTTGTGATAATATTATTTCGTTTTCTATTAATTAAAATAATATTAGCAAGCATCCTTGTCCAAAATGTACAATTTCGCAGGATTGACTTTAAAAACAAAACAAACAGACATTCCTTTGAATATCTATCTTCATAAAAAGAAAAACATATATATATATATATATATATATATATATATATATATTCATTTAATTTTTTTTTTTAATTGTCTGAGAAATGAGAAACTTATAATTTACAAGGAGAGGTCACAGTCCGGGTCATGATCATCAACTAATTTTTTTTTGGTGATTCTAGTACAAAACATATTAAATATAAATATAAAAAATAGACAAACGTCCCGATACTGTGTTCTTAAGAAAAAAACAATCCATGTTCATGTTTCAAAACTATTTTGTTATTTATTATTGCTTTTTCTTGGCCCATATTTGTAAGTTATTATATATCAATCAATTTATTTTTCTTGCAGAGTAAGAAAAAAAGATTGGCAATCCTATATATTAATTCTTTTTTTTTTTTTTTTTTTATTTCATTGGAATTTACAACTGTATTACATAGAGAATACAATAAGTAAATGAGAAATTTGTAACATGGCATGTACAACATGAAGAGAAACTACCCATTGGTAGAACTCAAATTAAAGTTCTATATTAGAAGATCCCGAGGCCATCTTCTTTTCAGACGCCTCGGAGGATTATCAGGGATCGAGAATGAAGCAAGGTTTGAAACGAGAGGATTCGGATGATTCTGCAGTTTGTTATGGAAGGAAAGGTATCTGGATTGGGCCAGATCGGAAACATATGGAACATTAAGGTCTTTATGGATGATTTTATTTGTGACAAAGAAGGAGCGTTGAGGATTTTACGAAGGATTTTGGATTGTAAGGATTGGATACGAGAGGAATTCGATGGTTTAGTGGAGCCCCAAAGCTCAATTCCGTAAGTCCAAATAGGTCTTATTATTGTCATGTATACGAGTCGTTTATAATTGATTGAAAGCTTAGATCGTTTGTCTAGTAAGTGCTGCAGTAGTCGAAAACGTCGGGCGGTTTCTAGTCGTTTCAGTCTGGTATGGGGGTTCCAAGTGAGTCGTTTGTCAAGGTGGAGTCCTAAGTAGCGGATTTGCTCAACAGGAATAAGTGGAGTATTATTGAAGGATACTGTAGGACAAGAGGTCATAGGTTTACGACGGAGGGTAAAAGTGATTTGATGGGATTTGTTGGAATTTATTTTTATTCTCCAATTTTTACACCATTCTTCAAGGCTTGTGATATGTGATTGAAGAGTTTGGGATGCAATTAAAGGATCGTTATTAACTGATAGGATACACGTGTCATCGGCATAGGTGGTGATGACAGTGTTGGATTGGGTTGGGATGTCAGCTGTATAAACTGTGTAAAGGATAGGACCTAGGATACTACCTTGAGGAACACCGGCAGACTGAGTAAAAAGAGATGAATAAGCATTGTTATGATTGACTTTGAAGTATCTGTCAGTAAGGTAGGAACGTATAATGAGGAAGTATGTAGGTGGTAGGAATTCACGGAGTTTGTACATCAGTCCCGGATGCCAGACTCTATCAAACATATTAATTCTAAAAGGTGTTTTTTTTGTCCTCCATTACTTCGTCAATTATTCATCAAATCTAATGATTGACCACTCATTTTGAATATATTCTACTTCTTCACATGAGAAAAATAGTCCTATCCCTCCGAAATTTTCGGAAAAAAAGTTATGAAGGAAAGAAACTTTATTTGCGAATAACTCAAATAGCATGCATTTTTTTTTCTGAATTGTAGCCATGATAATTAGAAAGATTACTAAATTACCTACAAAACAAAAAAACAAATGTAAAAATTGGACAATTATTTACAAAGATACAGTCTTAATTTTGGTATACTTAATAGTTTCTTCCTCTTTAAAGATAATGAATTTCCTATTCTACTACACTTTTTTTCCTTACTGTTATGTTAACTTTATTATTTCTTAAAGGCATTTGTTTGTTCTTACATTTTTTTTTTAATAATTTAGAAAACCCCATGATCGATTCTTTATTATCTTTCCAGTCAGCGTTTAAAGATAGGTCCTAGCAAAGCAATTTGTAAAAATATTTTGGTCCTTTATGTTAAATGGAATATTGTAATCGACCAAGGAAAATATATTATTTCATAGGATCTACTTATTTCCATATTGATTTGATTAAGATTTTATTCATCTTTCATTCATCAATCTAAAGAGCCATCATTTAAAAATAATTTAATGAATTTTTCAGGTGGCTCAGCAGAGTTGCTATTTTGATTTTGGTTCAGAATAGCATTTCTTCAGAAATTTTTAAAAATAAGGATTGCGCAATCGTTCTTTCTTCAGCTGGAGCAGTCGTCACGTAAGTTAATTTAAACATTAAATTCCATGCGCATGCTTACTAAATATTATATAAATTATACATATACCATATTAAATAAATTAAATTATACTGTTACATACATTTGCCATCTTTACTTTGAAACAGAGAGGGCCAGTGTAGCATTCAAATTTGTGTGAACTGGAAAAAGTAAAACCGGGTAGGAAATATATTAATTGTAGTCTGTGGTACAACGCCTTTTTATCGAATTATTAACATCCGCCTTAAACTTCGTAAATAGTTTCACCTTATCGTAACCTACAATTATTTTATTTAAGTAAACTCTTGGGATTGGGTCATTTCCAATCTGGAGGAAAGCAAACTTTGTCTATTTAACTAGTTACTAAAAATTCATAAATACAAAATTTGCTACCTATTTGGATCGTAAGATAATTTGATAAAAAAATCGAAAAAAAAGCCGTTTAGCGTGACCTAATAAATGAATATTTCATTTATATAAGAAAAAATAATGATTTTTCGAATATTTATCTGATGAAGCAGGGGTCTCTAAACTACTGCCCGATGTAAAACATGTACCTCTGTTTATTTTTTTTTACCCGATTGTTTCTTTGGTTACACTTATTAAAATTTTAAAACCTAATTAAAAATATGAAATTGAGCAAAATTACTCATACATGATATTACTACATTTATTTTATTTTTTTATTTATTTTTTTTTTTATTTTTTTTTTTTTTTGGTTAAGAAAGCTCATTTCAGAGCTGCAGTGTCATTTATAGAACAAGATTTTTTTTTCTTCACAAGACATGCCCCGTGGGACTTGTTGGAGGTTCCAATGTGGTCCGGGGGTCAAAAAATTTGGAGGTTCCTGATCTAAGGTCATAAGAAATTTTTTTTTTATATAAGAACGCAATTATAAAAATTGATCCATATTTATAAGCGTTTAAAACACAGAAACCTGCCGATTGCTTGAATTATTTTGTTTATTATATTATTAACTTGGCTTTCCTTAGTGGCAGAGACGTATGCTTGCGCTATGAAGACGTGGAAGAAGCTTTCAGCGTGGCGAGGGAGAAGGTCGGCTTGAGATTTCCAGCGAGGCAAGTAACAGACCTGAGCATAGCACAGCTGGGCACAGCGTTACAGGAGACATCAAGGATAATCGCGAGGAGGTAAGGAATATATATATATATACATATATGGCATTAAAGGCACATTGATAATAGGCAGAAAAAGAAACAATACTTATCAGGGATCCCCATCCACCTCAAGGACGATATCACATCTCCTCTTCTTCCCAAGAAATTTGATCGCTCTTATCTTTTTTTTATAACAGAATTGGAAAATCTGTAGACCATATTACACTTTTTGTAGTATATTCCATGTCCTCTGCTTTGAAGATTTCTTTAAATTGAAATTCCACAAAAGTTTGGTTCCCTACAAAAATCCTTTACCCCATCAATAGTATTGCCCGAAGTAGGTCTTGGTCTTA